TACAGAACAATATTCACTGCAACATCACGTTGTAAACATTTATTTCTCACAGTTCTGGAGGCTGGAAGTTTGAGATCAGGGTGCCAGCACGGTCAGGCAAGGGCCCTCTTCTGGGTTGCAGACTTCTCATATCCTCACATGGTGGAAGGGGGCTAGGGAGCTCTGTCAGCTCTCTTGTATAAAGGTGCTAATCCCATTCATGAGGGCTCTGCCCTTATGACCTAATCACCTCCTGAAGACCCCAACTCCTAATACCATCACATTAGGGGTTAGGTTTTTAACACATGAATTGCGGGGTGGGGACACAAACATTCAGATCATAGCAAATATATTTTGAGTAATGGGAACAGTTTAGAGCTCCTAAATAAAGACCAGAGGTAAGGTGACCCATCAGGTCCCAAGAACCTAAGGTAAGAGGAAAAGAAATTCCTACTGTGCTCTGATTCCTTACGTGGGGCCAATCGTGAGCTATATACAGCCTGAGGAGAACTGAGAAAGATGGTACCAGCACGAGCTTTCTCCTTGGCTGGTCATACAGCCTGAAAATCGTACTCTGCTTTATCCATCTGGCACAAATACGTCCAGAACATGTGTCATGTAAACTCAAGTAGAAAAAAGAACTTTTCAATGTTGGGTTTTACTTCTTGTAAAATGTTGAAAACCCATGTATCCAGGAGCAAAGGACGTTGTGAAGGTGATAAGCCATGTATCTTGAGCCCCTGTGTCTACAAAAATGGTGTCTCAAAGTTAGCCAGCCCTTCTACCCAGGATTTCCAGTAAGGTGGGCACGAGGACACTTACCTCTTGCTCACAGAGTAGCCTTTGGTTGGTTGCTCTTGTGACTCTTCCCTCTTCTGACTTCCTTACCTCTTTCTGAGCTCCCTCCTCTCCTGCCTTGTTGGTGCTGACCAAATGCCATGATTTACACCCCATGACTCTTCTGCCCAGAGCGACTGGTGGTAGGTAAGCTGTCTCTATTTTGAAGGGTTTTGTTGTTTCTGATCTGGCCTATAGGAGGCACTGGGGTCAACATCTGAAGGGCTTCTCTACCAGACAGTGACTACCACAAGTAGCACATGTTCTAAATTATAAATTAAGGATTCAGAAGTGAAGGTTGTGATTTGAGAAATGACCTGGATAAGAAAAACTAAGTGCAGTTCCCTTAGCTACTACAAGCTAGCTGACGTTGAGCACATCACTTCATCTCTCCTGATTTCCGTAGAAGGAGTTGGAAAGGTCCCCAGCTGTGGACTAAGGGCTGGTTACATCATAATCACCTGGGGCCATTGTTAAATATTCATGTTCCTACACTTTGCTACAGTTCTGTATCAATCTCCCAGATGGGAATGTACGTATGTTTCCTTAGCAAACAACCCAGATCATTCTGATGGGCGCCTGGGTTTGGGAACCACAGCAGTAGATGATCTCTTGTTATGCTAAGAGGTCACTGAGTCTGCTGCTGTGTTAGCCTGGTTTGGGTGGAGATGGACCTGGCAGGGGTGAGGGACTGCCAGACCTCTCCCAAGGAGTGTGTCTGGGGGGCTCTGCGGAGGAAGAGAAGGTTACCACCTTTCACGTGTGTCGCAGGTTCTCTGCTTTCTTCAGTTCCTTCCACAGGAAGGCAGCACGCGCCAGGGCTCCACTGGTCTAAACCACAGTTTTCTGCTGACCCGAAGGTTCTAAAAATAGAAAAGAGGTGCAAATCCTGCTCCCCAGCCTTTGCGGGGGCAGAGAAAAGCAGAGTGCCCAGGGGGAGGTTGTTATGAACGACAAAGTGGTAATTTCTTCCCAGGGGTGAGGAAGGTTCTTCCCTGTCCCTGCCTCAAGCTGCAATGGTGCAGTCTGTTACCTTGGAGACCAGCAAACACTTCCCGACAGGGCAAGCTTCCCTGTTGAGTTGCTTGGAGGAGCTTGGAGGAACTAGAAGTGGGAACCAGCGAAAACAGTCCTGGGATGACCAGGGGCCCTTCTCCCAAAGATGGAGAAATAAATGGAGAAATGCAGGTGAAGTTGAGAGTCACAAGCGTTGACAGGGTGATAAAAGAGTGGGCGGGGGGAGGCCCAGACTCTAAGCTCTGGACTAAGTGAGAAAGATTTAGGGAGCCTGGGTCTGAAGCACCTGCTCCCTACCTGCCAGACATTGTGCTACGTGCTGGGGGTGCAACAGCAGACAAGGAAGTAATGGGGCTGCTCCCGAGAAGGTCTGTGACAACTTGGTAAGAGACGGCCAGGAGGCAGCAATAGGAGGGAATGATTTCCTCCTTGGGGGTTGGGGGGCAGCAAATGGGGTTCAGGAAAGACTTCCCGGGTTTTCTTGTCAAACAAAAAGGGCAAAGGGCAATTCTAGAAGTAGGTCCAACTTGAACAAAGAAGAGCATGAATTAGCAAGGTGTGTGTAGGTAGGGGTTACCAGGGTGTGTAGAAGGATGCAGGATGAGGTAGAGAGGTAAGCAAAGAATAGATCCAAATGGAATGAAAAGCCTTGTGAAGAAGGTTTGACTTGCTTGTCCACGGTACTGAGAAGCCATGGCTGGGTTCTAAACAAGTAGTAACATGAACAATTCTGCATATCAGAAAAATCATTCTGGCAGCAGGCTGTAAAATGGATTGGATGGGGGAAAGACTGGAGGTTATTAGGCAGTTAAAAATACAAACCCTGGGGGTGGCTTTATCCTGGATATTTAGGAGAATCCTAGATCTAGCTGTTAGCAAGTCAGGAAGTTAGCTGAAGATTTTCTTTTATCCACTAATCAGGGCTACCTCTCTCCCTTTGACAAGATGCCATCTCCTAAGGACCGGCTTGCATATTCTCTTCCCCTCCTGTGACCAGTCTCCCAAGGTAATGTGGCCCACCTTTCTCTAAGCTCTGGACCTGCCCTGAGTACATTTATTCAACAAATGTTTTTTTAGCAACTACTATGTTCTAGGCAATGTTTACATAAAACTGTTCTAACAGTGAACATAACTAAGTCCCTGCCCTCATGGGTCTTACTTCTAGTGGATTGATGGATGAGGGAGAGTGGGCCAGAGACAGATAATAAGTACATATATAGAACATCAGATGAAGAAACGTGCTACAGAGAAAACGAAACAGGGGCAGGGAGGTACTGTCTGAGATGGGGTAATCAAAGAAGACCTCTCTGATAAGGTTTCATATGAGCAAAGGCCTGAGGGTAAGGGCTGTCCAGCTCTGCCTACCAGCTCTCTCTGGCACCTAGCATGCAGTCTATAAATGTGCGCGGAATGAACGAGTGCTTGTGTCACGTGCAGAAGTTCTTGAAGATGCAGCAGATTTTGAAATGGTATTCTGCACTCCTATAGCCCTTTGTATTTTACAAAGCTCTTGTACGTTCTCAATTTCATTTGATCCTCCTGACGATGGAGTTGAAGTAGGCAGGGCAGTTACTATTATCCCCATGCCATTCTGTAGATGAAGAAACCAATGGTTCCGTGCTCCTTCTAGCACACCACATTGTTTTGCTAGTTTTATGCAACCCAAACACCCCTCCATTGGCCAACACAAGTCATCCCAGAATCCAGTCGTGCAAGCCTCTGAATTCATTAGGTTTAATCATTCACTGAAAAGAGGGAACTAAGACTGCGGGGTGTCCAGTGTTGATGAGGTATTTCTATTCCAGCAGTCTCTGCCACAAGAGTCTCCCAGCAAAGCATACTGAAGTGAAACCGCTTTTTCTTTTTTTGAGACATTTTCACATTATCTTGGTGCTTCTCAAGAGAAAACTCCTCTGAATAAAAGATTAAAGACCCCAAAGAGAAAAGCAAGTTGCCGAACCATCATTAGGCTATTTAATTTAATGGTTTCATAAGAACACACACTCCAACGTTGAAGCTGCAACTCCATCTGGAGTTTCTCACTTGCGGTGTTTTAGACAATATTTTTTTTGTTGCAAGTAACAAGAAATATAAATGAGGTCACTTGGGCTTCCCTGGTGGCGCAGTGGTTAAGAATCCGCCTGCCAATGCAGGGGACACAGATTTGAGCCCTGGTCGTGGAAGATCCCACATGCCGTGGAGAAACTAAGCCCATGCGCCACAACTACTGAGCCTGCGCTCTAGAGCCCACGAGCCACAACTACTGAGCCCATGTGCCACAACTACTGAAGCCCGTGTGCCTAAGAGCCTGTGCTGTGCAACAACAGAAGCCGCTGCAATGAGAAACCCACACACCACAACGAAGAGTAGACCCCGCTCGCCGCAACTAGAGAAAGCCCATGCAGCAACAAAGACCCAATGCAGCCAAAAATAAATAAATAAATACATTTATAATAAATAAATAAATGAGGTCGCTTAAGCAAAAAGGAAGGGAATTAGAAGGAACAAGTATCTCATGGAACCTAAGAGCAGAAAGTGAAGTCAGTTCTTCAAGAACTGAGGTTTACCTCCCCTCCTCAGAATATTTACTGTCTTCCAGTCCCTCTCGCATAACTTACAGTCTAATGGGAGAAAGATGCCAATTCTTAAAAATCACACTAGTAAATGTATTATTCTAAATTAAGATAATTACTTTTAAAGAAAGGAGCACAGTTCTATGACAGTTTACATAACACAAAGGAACCTGGAATAGAGTGGGATGGTAGGGAAGACTTCCTAGCGGAAGTAACATTTGAGCTGAAATGTCAAGGATGAGTGGTTGGGGGGAGGGGAGGAGAATGTTCCAGAGCAAAGCCAGCATATTAAAAGGCCCTGCGATTAAAGGAACCATACAGCATTCTAGGAACTGAAGGGGAACGGGGTTGTCGAACACTGAAGCAGCAAGCAATGGTGGGGTGGGAAAGCTGGAGAGGTGGGTGGGCAGCAGCCAGAGCTTGCGAACCTCGAATGCCATCTTACGGGTCTTAGTCTTTATCCTAGAAATAAAGGGAAGCCTTTGAACAGCTTTGAGCAGGAGAGAGAAGAGGGGGTGTGACCTAGGATTTGTGGGGGGTTTTGGCTGCATGGTGCGGCTTGTGGGATGTTAGTTCCCCAACCAGGGATTGAACATGACCCTCAGCAGTCAGAGCGTGGAGTCCTAACCACTGGGCCGCCAGGGAATTCCCTGGATTTGGTGGTGGTGGTGGTGGTGGTGGTGGTGGGGTGTTTATTTATTTATTTATTTTTGGCTGCGTTGGGTCTTCGCTTGCCACAACTAGAGGAACCCTGCGCACAGCAACAAAGACCCAACGCAGCCCCCCAAAATAATTAATTAATAAAAATAAAATAAATAAAATAAAATAAGATACTTTATTAAAAAAAAAGGTCTAAGCTCAAAAGACACCTTCACTGATCACCTGGCCTATGCAAAGCAGATTCCTTTCCTGATTACTATCATATCATCCTGTTTACTTCCTTCACAGTACTTTCCACAATTTGTTATTACTATATTTACATCACTCTCCCCCTCTGGGAGGACAAGGACGATGCGTAGCTCAGTGATTGTCAACTGGGGACAACCGTGCTCCCCAGGAGACATTAGGCAATGTCTAGAGATGTTTTTGGTTGTTACAACTTGCAGGGGGGCAGGGTTGCTACTGGCATCTGATAGGTAGAGGCCAGGCGTGCTGCTAATGCACAGGAGAGCCTCACGACAAAGCATTAGCTTGTCCAAAATGTCGAGAGTGCTGAAGTCGAGAAACCTTTGTTATCTTGTTCACTGTTGTATCCTCAGCATCTAGCACAAAGCCTGATACCTAGTAGGTGTTCAATAAGTATTTATTGAATGAATGGAGTAAAGAACAGTTGAGCTGTTGTCTATATGCTGCACTTACCCTTTTCTTTTCTGGTATTCTTTTCCTCCTTAGGAAAATAAGCATTGGGTGTTTTTATAATGGCCACACAAACTAGTCATATCTTCCATGGTCAGGATAATAAGTTTCTGGAAAATCATTGGTAAGCATCTTCTCTGACTTTCCAAATGAAAACAACAACAATATTTTGTTCACGGGAGTTGAGGGGGAAATACCTGCCTTTAAGTGAGACTGGGTAAATGGTCGATGCCTCATCTTATACCTGAGGGCTTCAGTTACCTAACTACCAAAACAGTAGGATAAAATGTCTTATGAGCCTGGAGTCCACATTTTATCGGGATCTACACAGGAAACTTTCCCAGTTACTACACAGAAGTAAAATGTTTCTGGAGGCCCTGATAACGTGGAGTCAATGTCTGGTGCTGGGGCATTGATCAAATTACTTTGTGTTTTTTAGCATGAGGAGAAACAATGACAGAGATCCAAAGAAGCAATTGAACCAGAAGAATATCAATGAACGTGGCCAAAACCTAGACAATGGACTACTGGTTACACATATTAACCAGACACAGGACTTGCTGGTAAAAACCATAGTGCTTCAACTGAGTGGCAGTGCTTACAAATCATAGTCTGGGAATGCAGAACGTGTTAAACTCTGGGTATTTCTTTCTTCACGTAGGATCTCAGGACTGAAAAGGATTAGTTACACACTCATCTCTGATCCCCTGCCTTTAGAAATGACTGAAGAATCTCTATGCTGTTTATAGAAATTGTATAGCCTTCTTGGCCATATCATTAAATATTCAGGGGGATGTGAAGACACTGTCCTTGTTATCAAATCTTGAAGACTAAGGAATTTAATTCTAAGATTCTCCTTCCTGAGATTTGTTTTTCTTGTAGGATTTCCTAAAATCTAGATCCAAAAATCAGTTTCAGGGGCTTCCCTGGTGGCGCAGTGGTTGAGAGTCCGCCTGCCGATGCAGGGGACACGGGTTCGTGCCCCGGTCCGGGAGGATCCCACATGCCGCGGAGCGGCTGGGCCCGTGAGCCATGGCCGCTGAGCCTGCGCGTCCGGAGCCTGTGCTCTGCAACGGGAGAGGCCACAACAGTGAGAGGCCCGCGTACCCCAAAAAAAAAAAATCAGTTTCAGGAAGTGCCATTGGAGTGAGAACGTTATGGCAGGAGAATTAACCTCTAGAATGACCAGAACTCTGGTCTTAGGCTGACTCTCAGTGTGTTGATGAGCTCTCTTCGCGTGGTGGTGAGTGGATTGTCTAGAACTCGCAATTCACTCTACCATAGAAACTATTGTCATCAGGGGTTGTCCGTGCAAGTCTGGCCCATAACCGTGTACCTATTCTACACTAGAGTTTAACAATGGTCCTTTGAAATGATAATCAGTCAAAAACAATACAGTTTTAATGCTAGCAATTAAACATCAGGAAAATAGTTGTGCTTTACTTTTCTCCAGTATTGGTACTTATGGGAAAGCGAGTTTAATTAAAAGGAAATGAGCAAATGTCAATAGAGTCTGGAAATTCTGAAGGATCCTTTCAATGACTTTAGATGTTGATACTATGAGTCTTTATTTCACCTAATTTCTTATCAGATACACGACTTTCCAGGTGTACAAGGACCCCTCTTATTTATCAGCCACAACTGGGGCCTCCTTTACTTCACAAATGAATAGCAGTGGGAAAGAGGTAAAGGATTGCCCCAGCACAAAGATCTTATTCTTCTGTATGTAAAGCACATCCTTCAGTATATAATCAGTATGTCCTACAGTCAAAATCCATCATGTTTAATGGTGGCTCTTCAAATATTAACAATACAAAATCCTTGTCCTAAAAAATGATGGATCATTTCAAATGCAAGTAAAATGGAAGAGAGGTGAATTAGAAGTCTACCGGGTTCAGTGTTACCAAAGGGAGGTGGTTGTCCTGAAAGATGAGAAGAGTGACACCTAGTGTTTATATGCTGCAGAGCACCATTTTCCTAAGCGAGCGGCTGGGGCTAAGATTATAGGCGGTGCTGTTCTGGGGCGGGACATTAATTAGCAGAGAATCACATACTGAGAAAGTTGTCTTTTCAGTCAGTTCTCTCTAGATCCTTCACAAAGATAGTCACAGTTTGGTGGTAATTTAAAGGCAATATAGTATCGTGATTATGAGCGTGGCTCAAGCTATAGTGCTTGGGTTTGAATCCCAGCTCCACCACTAACTAGCTGTGTGACTGGACAAATTGCTTAATTCTCAACATTTCAGCACCCTTGTCAGTAAAATGAGGTTAATAACGATGGAACCTATTTTGTAGACGTAATTAAGTTAACATACGGAAAGTGCTTGTCACATAATAAGCACTATTAAGAGTTTGCTCTAATTATTCGTGTTTTCACACTTCTTTAACACTTGCTAATTTCCTTTTTTTTTTAACATCTTTATTGGGGTATAATTGCTTTACAATGGTGTGTTAGTTTCTGCTTTATAACAAAGTGAATCAGTTATACACATACATATGTTGAAACAGAGGGTGAGGAGGTGTCAGGCACAGAACTTACGGCATCCAATACTATCTAGCTGGAATATGATAGAAGCAGTTTATTTTCATTGCCTTTGTTTGTTTGTTACCTTCTGTTTGTGACCCAACCTGAGGGGAAACAAGAATCACTGTTAAGAACCGCTCATGCAGCAGCACTGCAGGCCACGCTCTAGATCTTAGCGTCACGCACCCATCTTACAGGTGGAGAAAGAGACACGGGGCTTGCCCAGCATCACAAAGCTAGTAAGTGGGGGGCCCAGGACTGCACTCCCTTCTCCCCTCCCTCTCTTCCTCTGCCCTTTCCTCCTTCCGAATCCTCTGTTTGATCTAATCCTGTCTCATGCAGCTCGGTCAGCCACAGCAGATAATTTCAACCCCTTGTCTATCACCTCACCGTCTACAGGGAGAGCCTGACAAAGACAAGCCCAAACAGTACCCACCCTGGGTTCAAGCAGGCGCACAGGAGACAGGCAAAGCCATCTTTGGGTGTAGTCGGGGGCCGCGGTGGGCTAACCAGTGCGCAGGCCCTTTCCACGGTCCCTGGACGCTGCAGGGCGGTTTCTCTCACTGTGGGACTGAGCCGGCCTCTCCCCTTGTGAGGCTGTGTCCCATACCCTGAGTCACAGCCAACCCTGGCAACATGTAAGGCCCACTGATTCACACAGACAATGGCGGCCGTGCTGGAAGCTCTTGCAGCATCCCTGTCTGCTCCAGGCCTTGCACACCCTTCCAGCCTCTTCTCACGTCACGCTTACCCTGCATTCGCTACACTCCAACCACCGTGGCCACCTTTCTGTTCTTCCAGCACTCTGCCCCTGCCCCCAAGCCCACCTCTGCCTGGACTGTGCACGCCCAGAGACACACAGGGCTGGCTCCTTCTGCACCTTCAGATCACAGCTCAGAGGGGTCTCCCCTGACCCCCCATCTCAGCTAAAGTGACCTCCCCATCTCCACTCGAGTCATTTTCTATCACATTGCCCTGCCCCACTTTCTTAATACAGTTCCTTGCTGAAATTATGGACATTGATTTTGCTTTTCTTTACTGACCATCTATCCACACTAGAATGTGAGCTCCGAGAAGGCGAGAACATTTCTATCTTGTTCACACGGTAGCCCTAGGACCAGGGACAGTGCCTAGTTCAAAGCAGGGCTCGGAACAAGGCAAAGTGGGCTCAGAGTCTTAGGTCAGCTCTCTCCACCTTCTGGCTCTCAGAATGTATCACCAATGTCGAATGCTTGCTGTGAACGACTTCAGCTCCATCACCAAGGCCACCACCCACGTCCTGAGCTTAGTACTATGTAAGTGACACTGGTGTCACTCAGCACGAGCAAGGGGGCTTGTTCATTTCATGGCCAGACTCCTGTGATGGCTCGGAAATTCTTCCTCTAAAACTTTTACCCACTGCTCCTGTTTCTGGCCTCTGGAATGGACAGGGAAACCCATTCCCTCTTCCATCAGTCAACAAATGTTTGTGGAGGATCCCTCAGACTGAGAGGGAGGCAGAACTCATATACCTGAAAGGATGCAGGGAATGCAAATACAGAAATAAACAAAGACGCCACCATCGCTTGTGTTTGACAGAGACTCAAAGGTTGGCAGGGGAGAAGGAAAGCTTTATGGTGAAAAAAGGGGAAAGCTTCAGGTGTACCCTGAAGGGAGCCAGAGGCGGACTAACTAGAAGCCGGCGTCTCCTGTGACTGATTTGGGGGCATGTTTGGTTTTCTCTGGTTGGTCCTGAGCTGAAAAGGGGATGAAAGGTAGGCAAGATGGCGGTCACTGCCAGAGCCCTGACTCCCCGCTCCAATAGCTGCAGAGGTTGTGGTCTGGCTCCATGGTCTGGTTGCTACCTGTGTGGGTCGGAGTTGTGCTGTCATACAGGGTCTAGCCACGGTGTGTTTGTGTGTTCAGTCTCTCACAAGGCAGGATGTGGCGAGTGGCGCTTGACTCCTCTAGACACATACTGGGGATGAGGTGAGGGATGGGAACGGGTATTTCCGGGCAACTGGCCCAGAGCACCAGCCTCCGCATTTGTCTGTTGCCTCAGCAAGGCGAGTTCTTGAACGGGCTGCTCTCGGGTGGGACCGGTCAGGCTGGCACCCCTTAGGGGTCCACGTGGAGGGAACCTAAAACATCCTCAGCTTCACCCTCTCTTTCCACCGGTTTCTGTGACTCTGTCTTGCAGAGGCTGCAGGGCGATGAGACCCAGCTGTCTTCAGCTTGGGAGGATTCAGAAGATTGGCTTTTAACACACAATTTAAAGTCTATGAAACTCACCTTGGCTGACCTGATAAGCCAGGGCACAGCCATGCTGTAAGTCTGAAGCCTTTCCCCTCTCCCCCCAAGCCTGCAAGACACGTCCATCCCCCTGAGCCCAAGAGACCCTTTCATAAGACTTTTCTTCTTCAGGAAGGAGGGTAGCAATGTCACGAGGAAAATGCACATCTCCACCCAGACCATCCACCAATTCGAATCCAAGCTTTCTGAGTAAGTATGCTTTTCAGCGTCTTCCCAACAACCCAAGAGCTCAAGAAGTACCTGGTTTCAGCAGCCTGAAAATGACTTTGTTCAAACGACAGCCTCTGTGGGACCTTGGGCAGGCTTCTTTCCGCTTCTAGCCCCAATTTCCTGTTTTTGCAAATAAAGAGGTTGGACCATATCAGTTTTTCTGAGCCTTTTAAAATCCATGGTCCCTTTGGATGAACACATAAAACCTCACAGCCTCATCTGATGTGTGATGGTTAAGAGTGACCACTTTTGATGACAGATTGATTGGGTTCATACTTTTACAGATGTATGTCAAAAATATTCAGGCTCCCCACTTCCAAACCAGATTTTTTTTTAAAGCTTCTCTTTGGTTTATTTATTTGGCCACACCAAGAGGCTTATGGGATCCAAGTTCCCCAACCAGGGATCGAACCTGGGCCCTTGGCAGTGAAAGCGAGGGGTCCTGACTACTGGACTGCCAGGGAATTCCCCCAAACCAGATTTTGACGTCACCATCCATCCCCGGTGTAGCAATCTATGGGCCATGATTACTGCTTGCCTGAGGTTTCTTAAAAGGTTAGAATAATTAATAGCCAACATTTCTTGATGTGTCAGGAATTCTGCTAAGGGCTGCACACATTATCTTATTTAATCCTCACAACAACTCAAAATATAGTGTTACTGTCAAGACCGTTAACCAAAAGTCAATTATTAAATAAACAATTTGCCAAATTTATCAAAACATTTTAACTGGGGCTTCCCTGGTGGCGCAGTGGTTGAGAGTCCGCCTGCCGATGCAGGGGACACGGGTTCGTGCCCCGGTCCGGGAGGATCCCACATGCCGCGGAGCGGCTGGGCCCATGAGCCATAGGCCGCTAAGCCTGCGCGTCCGGAGCCTGTGCTCCGCAACGGGAGAGGCCACAACAGTGAGAGGCCTGCATACCGCAAAAAAAAAAAAAAAATTTTAACTGTAACTTTTATAGCAAATTTTATTGGGTTGGAAGGTTAAACAGATTTTAAAGATTTCTGTAATATTTTGGTTGATTGGTTTTAATTGTGAATCCAGCAATTTAAGGAATGTTTCAGGTCTCTTCAGTTAATTGATCATTTGGCAAATTGATTTTCAGAGAATTGGTTTTCAGTAAACTAACTTTTGGCAAATTGACTTGGGTAAAGTCTTATTATCTTCATGTTGGAGCTGATGAAGCTGTGGAGTTTACCACACTTGTCCAAGGTCACACAGCTAGTAAACAGCAGAGCTGGGTCTCAAAGACAAGCTCGTCTCATTACCTGCCCATGCCCTTACCTGCACCCACACTCATGCATGCCTATGATTCTGCCCACTGCCCCATGCCCATAAGTTTATATCCAAAGGCCTTCCCTGCCCTTCTGTGGGCCCCCAAATCCCACCTGCTTCAGTGAAGGCAATTCAGTTAAGTTCACATGGCTGAGTCCTTAACTTGAGTGCCTGTTACAGGCTGGTCTCCAAACAGCCACTGGAATCGTTTGCAATAAGGGAAACTCAAGAAATTCCCCTGGCCACTTACTATTCAAAAACTAAGCTTTTTGTTCATCAATCCACTGAGAAACTTCTGCTGAGTTGCTTCACTTGTGCATTTATGATCATGTCCAGGTGACTAGGAAGTCTCACCTGAGAAGACACAGATTTGAGAAGAGCAAGAATGTTCTTCCACCTTCCTCATGAGAACACCCCCCCATCCTCCATAGACTGGCCCTCCCTCGAAGCCCACCTAGTTCCACCAAACCACAGCCGTTTATAATGAACATTGCATCAGCAAAAGGACCCCACACACGCTTGATCCCTTTCACAATCCCCTCCATCCTTTATCCCAGAAACCAGACCTTCAGTTTTCTCTTTGCTAGATTTTGCCTTATATTCTCCCAATGCTTTAGACACATTAAAAGAAAGAAAGTCCCATCCGCACTTTCCTTCCATGTATGTAAGTGGCTGTTTTGCTCAGTGATGAAGCTGACCTTGGGTGACAAGTCTTCCTGGTGTTTTGACAGAGCTATTGAACTCTATCAACAGAGAATTCAGTGGCTCACAGAAAACAGCAAGAAGGTAATAGATTTCATTCTTTACCTCCTTTCACTCATTCCACCTGTACTTGTTAGAACCCTTTCAGATGCAAGTGCTAGACCTCCAATTTACATTAGCCAAAGCTAAAAAGGGAATTTCTAGACCTACAGAAATGAAAAACTCAAATACAGCTGTATCCGGGGGTTCAAATGATGTCATTCTTTGTCTCTGAGCTCTGCTTTCCCCTGGGTTGGTTTTACTCTCGGGAAGGATTTCCCCAGTCTTGGGAAGATGGTCACCAGCAGCTCTAAGCTTACATGTCACCAACTAAAGTGACATGTCAAAAAGGATCTCACCTTGCTTTCCCAGTACACCCTCCCAAGTCCTGGGATTGACACTCTCTGGACCAATTTAGACCGATCACTATAACCAGGAGGATGAGATGCACTAACTGATTGGGCCTGGAACTAGTGCTCACGCCTGGGGAAAGACAGGGGGTGAGGGAAGTTGGGGGAGACTGGGTGAGTCCCCCCAAACCTCATGGACTGAGAAAAGGGAGACAGATGGCTGCACATGGAAAGCCAGAGTGCTGTTACCAGAAGGGGAAACAGATCCTGGGTGAGAACAGCAAAAATCCCCTGGACCGTTTCACCTCAGACCCCTAATGAGATTTATGATTAAGGCCGATCATCTGGACATAACTTTTGAAAGTTTGATTAAACGTTTTCCTCAGACCCAAAGAGTAGAAGAGTGATCATGGGCAAATTAACCTTTATTTTGCCTTCTTATTTGTTTTAGCCTATATTCTTCCACTGATGCTTTTCTGGGCCACCATTTGCTTTCACCTTAGGCAATCCTCAACTCTTTTCTTAAACCCTGGGACAGGCAAGATGCTGAAATCCATGCTCCCCACCCCCAAGCCCCACCTCTACTACCCAGGCCGATTCCAGGGTGTAGTCTACATCTCAGGTCCAGAACCATCTTCAGTTGCTTAGACAGGTCAGCAAATGCACATCTCCAGCTGTGGCATGCCCCTTCTGGTTGCACGTGGTAACACAGGCAGAGAGAACTGAGAGGGGTGAAATCCTCACCTACTCCACAAACATCCATTCAGGGAATGTTGCTCTCACCTGCCTACCCACATCACACCTGTCCTGGCACTTTTGACAAAGGGGGCAGGGATTGCTGGTTGGGTCCTTCTTCCCCTTACCCCTTTCTGATGGAGTTACCGCGGAGCCAGGAAACAAGCTCCGATTGGATTCCAGGGAAGCAATCACCTGTGAACCAGCTCATGAGTCTTCTGCGTGCTGGGGCACCTGGGGTGATGCATGGTCCATCACAGGGCCCAGTTCCCGACTCTACTGTCAGCAAGGCCTCACTTCTCTGGGTGTCCGTTTCCATATCTGCAGAGGATAAAAGCAGGGGTTATTAACCAGTGGCACGCAGGCAGATCTGGCCCTACAACCATGTTTTTCTTGGCCTCCATAGTTTTATTTTTTGAATTAGTTGTCAAGATTTTAAAATCCTGATATTTCACTTTTATGTCTGCTTTCAGTCTTCTCTTGAAAAACTGGGACTACCTGGCATCACTGGGCTCCAATTCCCTCTTATTTACTTTTCCAGTTATTTCTATGGGATGAGTTTCTAGAATTTCAATGTCTAGGTTTAAGGGGATGCATGTTTGTTTGTTTTAAATTTATTTTTTTTATTTCTGGCTGTGTTGGGTCTTTGTTGCTGCGCGCGGGCTTTCTCTAGCTGCGGCGAGCGGGGGCTACTCTTCGTTGCGGTGCACAGGCTTCTCATCGCGGCGACTTCTCTTGTTGCGGAGCACGGGCTCTAGGCGCACGGGCTTCAGTAGTTGCAGCATTCTTCTATAAAATGGGTCTTCCTTCTGCGGCTTCTTGTCGAGGTCGGGGAGCGCTTGAACATCTGCTACACAGAGCTGCCCAGTAAAAGGTTTGTAGAAGCACAGAGCTGTGCTAGTTGTTTCCGCACGCCCTCTTTGGTTTTAGGCATTTGGCCTCATCAAGGGGGCCAGAGTCGGCGTCCTCATTGATGTGTCAGCTGTCAGCAGTGGCCCTCAGAAGGAGGAGTTCCAAAGTGACCTCATGGTAAGTCTCTCTGGCACGGAGAAGGACCTGGAACTGGCACCTCCACCCCACCCTCCCCTTGTGAGCTTGCTAATGGGCTTTGTTTATAGCAAGTGCGAAATGGAGTGTTTTGCAAAGAGCAGTTCACACTTAATTAGCACCTACAGTTAAAAAAATATATATGTTGCGTTCTGCAAAACCCAGCCTCAGAGTCTTTCTCAGCTGCAGTGTGAGCTTCTAGTATTCACACCACAGCAGTCCCTAGTAACCTGATTTTGTCTCAAGAGCCCGGAAGGAGGGCACGCAGGCGATAATCAGTTGGACTAACTTCAGCACAACACGGGCTTCCGGCCTTTTCCAGACAAGGAGCTATCCTGCTTGGCCGTAACTCAGAAGCTAAGAACTCTAGGGTCAAATCCCAGGCACCTCCACCACTTCTCGGCTGTGTGACCATGTTACCTCATCTGTAAAACAGGGATGATGACAGTCGCCACCTCACAGGGTCACCAGAGGACAAAAGGAGTTCATGCAAATTAAGTGCTCAGTACAGAGTGTGGCATCGAAAAAAGCCTCTGTAGTCTCTGTGAAGTGTTATGGAGGGTCTGTTTTCCTAGAGGGACCTCTAGAGCTTTGAATGAGACCTTAGCAGCAACAGCTGGTCCCAGGACCCTTTAGAGGGATCAACATGGGCCAGTTTCCAGACTTGTCCCTCGTTCCTGGTCTCAGCAGGTGTCAGGGAACAGGTGTCAGTGAAGGCCCCTCTTCCTGACAGGTCTCAGGACCCGGTTTCCAAAGATCCCCCAGCTGGGCTGGTCCAGTCTTAGCCAGGGCAAGGCTCGTGTTGGCAGTAACAGGTGAAGTTTGTAGCTGGCCGGGAAGAAGAGGGATGAGTTATCTTATTGTTGGATACTCACCAGGTTGAGTCTGAGAGCATCCAATGGGTGGGCCCTGCACCCATCGCTCTATCCCCAACTCACACGCCCGGGACAGAAACCGCTGCCCCTGACCTCCATTCTCCTCCCTGGGCGCCACAGTGAAGTGCTGAGGGTCCAACCACAGCACACGCTGAGGTGGGTGCTCATCCCACTGCACCCGTGACCTAAGTGCACAGCAGCTACGGCAGAAGAGCATGTGGTCTGCGGTCAGCGGGAGTGAGGGCCCAGCTCCCGGACTGGCCCGCCAAGCCGCGGGCTGACCACCCAGGCCCCATACCCGCCACGCACAGCCAGGAGCAGGCTGGGGTGGGCAGCAAGCAAATGTCAACATGGGGCTACTAAGCTGGGCCTTAAGCGACCCTGTTTCAGCACGGCTCACACCCCAGCCCAGAGGGCCCAGCCACGTCGTGAGAGGTGGAGCCAGGCTCCACGTGGCCCGTGGCCCTGGCAGCCAGTGATGTCCTTTTGCCCACCAGAGCCTCATTGATGAGCAGCTGAGCCACAAGGAGAAGCTGTACGTCCTGTCCTTTGGTACCACCACCAGCACCTTGTGGCCCAGCCCGGTGGAAGTTGGCACCTCCAGGTGAGTGACTGCCCAGCCTTAGCCCGGATGTCTACCTGGTCATCTTCCTCCCTAAGTGTTAGTGTCTTTAATGCGTGATTAAAGTGCAAGACCCCCAACAGATAAGTGAGACAATTCACAAAAGCAGAAACACAGGGAGCCAATAACTTTTGGAAAAGTCACCCCACGAGCACCACAAAATGAAAAGATGAGACACCATTTTTACCCAGAAAACTAGCAAGGTAGTTTTATTATTACGAAAATAATACATGCTCATTTTTAAAAGTTGGAACAGAATAAAAGGATAAGTAATAGCAGATGAATCTCCCTCTTACCTAGCTCTCCCTCACCTCCCAATAACAGTTTCTTCTATCTACTTCCACAGGCTTTGCACATACACGCATCCGTGCGCTTATCCTCTCTTATTTAAACATAATCAGGTGCACATTACACTGTTTTGCATCTTGGCTTTGCACCTAATCTTGACTATCATTTTCTCTCAGTACACAGAGATCAACCTCGTTCTTTTTTTTTTTTTTTTTTTGTACCCGGGCCTCTCCCAATTTTGGCTCTTCCCTTTTGGAGCACAGGCTCCGGACGCACAGGCTCAGCGGCCATGGCTCACGGGCCCAGCCGCTCCGCGGCATGGGGGATCTTCCCGGACCGGGGCACGAACCCGTGTCCCCTGCATCGGCAGGCGGACTCTCAACCACTGCGCCACCAGGGAAGCCCAACCTCATTCTTTTTAATAGCAGCATAGTATTCCACTGTGTAGATATACTGTAATTTATTTAGCTAGTCCTTTGGGAGTTTCTGGTTTGGAGGGATTTTTGCAGGTGGGGAGAGGGGGAAGGTAAGAATTTCTGCTTACTTATACCAGTAAATAGATATCTCTTTTCCATGAAGGGAATAGCCTTGATCATCCGCCTTGTGTTAGGTGCCAGGCTTGGTGCTTCACATGTGCTCTCTTACTTAGTATTTATAGCCAACACGTGGGACAGGATCACTACCCCCGTTTTGCAGATGAGAAGACTGGGACGCAGGTTAGGGAAACTTTTCCAAAATGGCAGAGTCAGGATTGGATTCCAAAGCCCAGAGCGGATCCCAGGGAAAACCACATGCTTGGGTTTCTGGGACGGAGGTCCCCTTGCCCAGCACTAGCTGTAAAGAGGAGGCCTTCGGGGTAGAGAAGTGCCGGTTCAAGCAGCCCAGGCTTTGAATCCTGGCTCTGACAGTTACTGGGGGATCTTGACAGGTCCTTTAACTCTCTTATTAGCAGAATGAGGCAAGGACAACTGTTTCTCACAGGGTTGTTGTGAAGATGAGTGAAAAATGAGTACTTGGCATGGGGCAGGTACTCAGTGGGTAAGAGTGTCTTTTACTGTGATTTCTGCTCTTGTTCAACCCCCGAGCTCTGGAATGTCAGACCTGGAAGTCACCTTGAGACCATCTAGCCAAGAGTTCCTCAACTGCAATTATTCCTGGTCTTCCCTTGTGATGTTTGTCCTATCCCTGCCACCTGAACTATTATTTACTCTGTGCTACTTGTACTATTATCGATTTTTTAAAATATCAACGCTATATTTACTTTGATGGCAACTATCAATACCATAACTGAGAAGCCCGTATCACTTGCCATAATTAGAAAGTCGCTATAAAAATAAATAGAATGAAAGCAGACAAAACAACGTTATTAAATTCCAGCTTGAAACCTATTGGCTAGAGAGGGCGCCAGGCCTGGGATTTGTTCTCTTTGCTTAAAAGGGAGATTCAAACATTTATAATAATGAAAGACAGACTTACTGGCAACGAGCTGAGGGGTCTTTTTTGCAGGGGGAGGTCAGACTGAAAGAGAAATGGAAAGAGAAGGGCTGTCTCACTAGTGCCACATGAGGCATTTAACCAAGAAAGCTCTGTGTTATGTCATCTTCCCTGTTGCGAGTGGTGTGCATCCCAACCCGTGTGGAATGTAGCCACACAGCCTCGGTGCCTTCTCTTCAAGCCCTCTTAGGGTTAAGGGATTAACTCTGTGCTTCAGGCTGAGGTCTGCCTCCCAGGAGAGTTGGAGGGGAAAGGAGCTTAGCCCCAGACCCCCATGTAGCAGAGTCGCTAGAAGCTCAGGCCCTAGAGTCACACCTGGTTTGAAATCTCAGCGTTGCCAGCTGCTCACAGTATCACCTTGGGCAAGTCCTAACTCTGAGACTCAGTTTCCTCATCTATAAAATGGGAATAAAAGTATCCACCTCAAAGAATGATTGTTAGATTTATACCAGCTCGTACCTGTCGTGGGCCTGGCCCCTAGTAAGAGTTATTAGGTTGTTATCCTCTCCCCCAGCCTCCAGGAACTCAAGCTCTGGGTAAAGAAACTGCAGCCTGACAGAGGCAGCAATCTGTTGCAAGCCCTGAAGAAAATCTTCGCTCTGAAGGGGCTGAATTCTCTGGTGATCATAATGGGAAGCTGGTAGGTCTCCTTTCCTAAGCTGATAACATGAAGGGGTTGGAGAACCAAACCATTGTTAGAGAAAAGACCATCAAGACTCTTCACGTACGCTTGAGAGAAGGATTGTGTTTCCAGGCCATTTGTCCACAGATGCAGGGGCAGGGCAGCCAGCGTGGCCAGGCCTGTGGCCCAGTCAGCCCTGCATCTTACACAGGTGACCTGGGACACATGAGGTTGATTAGATTTGGTAGATGCTCCTTGGGAATTACCATTTTGCTGGGGAATGTCCTCAGGCTGAGGTGTCCCCTTCTCTTCTTCCGTCTTCTCCACAGCCCAGATCAGCCTTCTGAAATCCTGTCCGAGTACATCCAACAGTCCATCATGGGACGGGACCTCATCACCCACATCATCACCTACAAATGCGATGATCAGGTGCCCCCTGTAAGTATTGAGATTCTCCAAGGCTTCCCTTGGATTGGCTATAGTGAGCTGGGCCAGCCTTTGAGGTCCCCGAGCTGCGGACCAGAACTCTCCTTGTACCTAGTTCTCCTGTTGGTAAGCTCAGTTGGGAGGCTCAGACAAGGAGAAAGTTTGTTAAGGTACCGGCATTGCCCTAGTGACGGCTCACCCTGTCACCATCCCCGCAGGCTGTTCTGAAGCACCTTGCAGAAGCTCTTGGGGGCTACTACCACTGCTACAGCCCAGAGACAGAGGTAAGCCCTTGGGCCAACACACTGCCCCCTCCTCCCATCCCTGCCTGCCTCCAAGGTTGTGCCTGGGGAATCTGGGCCAGACCATGCTGTGTGTGTGCTTGCTTTCCCCCCTCCCCAACTCAGTGGGTTTACAACGGTAAAATCAGGTTAAAATGAATATGTGGGAAGAACAGAAACAACATGAAGTCACAAGAGATCCTTTTGTCAGTGTGTGTGATGAGTTGATTATACGCCGGTAGAATCCTGAATCCCTATCCAGTTGCCATCAACATGGGCCCCAGCCCACCTCTGCTCCCACCAGCGCTCTGAGTCTGAAGCAGTTGCTTCAGTTCTCTCTCCTAAATGGACCCCACCTACTGCAGGAGACGCACAGCAATTAATTCTGAATGAGCAAGTAATTCTGTACCAATCCTTCCATTAGTATCCTTGTCCCGGTTAATAATAACATCGCATACTCCGTGTCCACAATGGAGGTGACAGTTAATAGGCTGTGCCTTGCCTGCTAACCTAATCGCCGTGAGCACATGAATATTTGCATCTCACAAGTATGTCCAAGTGTCAAAAAGTTGGACATTTCCCATGAGGGAGCCAAGGTCAGGTAACATTTTCCTTGGGCAGAACCCCTTCTTGTTACCTCATTGCCCAGACTCTAGAGGAGTCACAGACTCCAGGGGCTAGGAAAGTACAGTGAGTGAATGAAACTGGCTGGTTTAAGAAATATTTTCTGTTAAAACCTGTGAACTTCTTGGCTTATCTGTTGTTTTTCCACTCTTGGTAGAGGTATGGGTAAAACAAATTTCATTGTCTTCGTTATTATGGGCAAAACAACAGTGCAGAGGTGACAAAAAATGACAACTGATTCTGATGGGGACACAACAGTGAGCGGTAAGGAGTGCGGTGAACGAAACAACACTTGCCGCAGCTAGAGGCACCTCCGCGCAGCCCCAGCCGGGTGCTCTGTAGGAGCGTGACCACCAGTGTTGCCAGGTCTTCTGATTTTTCAACAAGAGCCAGAAACCTGGATTTTTTTATGTGTGTGATTTCTTTAAAAATTGCAGTGAAATTCTCGAAACGTAAAGTGAACAATCAGGGGAAGTTACAACTTTCACGATGTTATGCAATCACCACCTCTATTTAGCTCCAAAACATTTCCATCCCCCGGAAAGGAAACTCTGTACCTATTAAAGCAGTGACTCCGTGATCCCCCTCCCCTGCAGCCCCAGGTAACCACCAATCTGCTTTCTGTCTCTAGGGATTTACCTTTTCTGGATATTTCATATAAATGGAATCATACACCTTTCACATCCATCTTCTTTCACTTAGCATCCTATTTTCAAGGTTCATCTATGTTGTAGCCCGTATCAGAACTTTGTTCCTTTTGCGTTGAATAATATTCCAGCTTCTGGATATACTACACTTTGTTTATCCATTCATCAGTCAATGGACATTTGAGCTGTTGTGAACTGGTATGATTATTGGTGTGCAAGTATCTGAGTCCCTGTTTTCAATTACTGTAGGTATAAAGCTAGGAGTAGAAATGCTGGGTCAGGTAGTGATTCTGTTTAATTTCTTGAGGAGCCACCAAACAGTTCTCCACAGCAGCAGCACCATTTTACAATTCCACCCTCATCCCACAGTTCCAATTCCTCCTGCTTCCCCTCCCCCCTCCTCCTATCATTATTATTATTATTATTGTCATCCTAGAGGGTGTAAAGTGTTTCTTCCCATTTTTAAGGCTAGACGGCCCTTCAATTGTTTAAAAACACTGCAAGCCAATACTGTACAAATGGAACACTGACTTTCGCAGGCTCTGTCCTGCACATGGACCCCGGTTTATAACGTCCGCTTTAAAAAGCCTGCCGCTCCGCCTTAGGGATTCACGTGGCTGCCTGTCCTTTCCCACTGCCGGTAGCCAGGTGACTGCTGGATGACTGATTGCCCTCACCACCCCCAGATCTACAGCAGCCGGGAGGTGGATGAGCTGCTGGCAGAAATCCAGGAGGCCCAGAGCCTCCGGGGCCATGTGCAAGCCCTGCACCAGAGCGCCCCCTGCGAGGAGCGGACCGGCTCGATGCACGAGGTAGGTGGTCAGAGCCCCAAGCTCAGACCTTCCGCGGAGGCAGGCAGCTGGCCTTCTGTGCTCTCCTGTCTCACCTGTCGCGCAAGGGAGCGGCTGCCAGGCCTCCCACGTCCCGAAAATGGAACAAAGCGAGGCCCCGCCCCCCGCTGTCCCAACATTTGTGAGCTGCCCAGGCCTCCGCTGGAAGGATCCTGGTGGATTTTCTATCCGAAAGATTTATTTCAGAGAAAGGCCAGCAGGCTCCTGCCACCCCTTCCCCCTACCACTGCCCCTCCCTTCCCCCCAGTTTGGAGAATGATGAAAACCTCAACCACACGGGGTAGGCTGTCTTGAAGACGGTCTTCCCACCAGTATCTCATTCAGGGCAAAGGCCCTGCTTGAGGACGCTTAATTTAACACCAACAGAGTAACTCAGAAAGCTTATGGACACAATCACCAGTAAAGCTGCGTACCGAGGAGAACTGGTAATGCGTTTATAGCTTCACAGAATGAATGTATGGATTTGGGGTACCAGACGTTTTGACCTGGCTGGATGTAGTGAAAGAAACACAGCACCTAGACTGGGATTTTAAATTTTAGTTTCAGCTCTTCTACTATCTAAAACAATAACAATAATTATTAGTATTATAATAGTTTTCATTTGCTGAGTGCTCACTATAAGATGGGCACAATTCTTTAAATGCCTTATTTTACCTTTACAACGACAGTCTGCGGAAGGTATGTTATTACCCCCATTTTACAGATGAGAAAACTGAAGTTAAAGTTTAAGTAATTTGCCTGAAATCACAGAGGGAAGCTGATTACTCTCAATTGAACCCAGGTCTGTTTGATGCCAAAACCTTGCCAGATGTTTCCCCAAATGAAACACATGTACTACTTGTAGTTTGCAAGATGGTTATAAGGTGATACATAGATTAATATTCTTTTCAATGTTATGCATTTAAAACTAGCTCATTGTGGCAGAAATAGATCTTTCTAAAATTATTTAAGTCCAAAAAAAGGAAGTCAAAAATTAAAATTGAAATGAACGTTAATTTCAATTAATATTATTAAAATTAATAATTAAAAAGATTTAATGTTATATGTTTGATTTTTAAAATATTAAGTAAATAACAGTACAGTGGTACTCGTAGCAAAGTTCATGAAGGAGGTGCTCGAATGTCTGGAGTTTGGGAATTGCTGTTCGGTGTTTTCCTCATACGTGAGCTATATGTGATTTAACCTCTCAGAACCTCAGGTTTTTGGTTGTAAATGTGGGCGAGGGCGGGTGGGCTAGATCAGGGCTCCCTAAATGATTTGGTGCAGGAGATACTTTTTAGTTCCCTGGAGCCTTATATTTGGGCCCTCGGCAAGGCCACCTGTCATCTTGGAGTCCGAGGTGCTTATCTTAATGGTAAGGGTGGGAAGGCGTGAGGAGGATGGACAAGTGAAAGAGGAAGGGAGTTTCTGGGTACATCTCTCTCTTCTCCTGGAAATTCCAGAAATCTCCTGAGAAGTGGATGGGGATAGTGGGAGGGGAAGGCAGAACTGCTTTTAGTTTACCAGGTAATGTTTTAAGATGTTCCCTTGGATGGGTGGGGGAGACTATGGACTTTCCAGCTCTAAAAGATGATTATGTAAGGATGATTTTTCATTTCGATCAGATTTCCACAGAGGTTGCAAAGAGGCCACTCACGAGTCTCTTGCCTAAACCCCCAAAGCATGAGGATCCCCTCACTATTGAGTTCCCAAACTTGGACAAGACTTCTGCAGAATGGCTAAAGACCAATAGCCTGAAAGGTAAATACCCAAAGAGGGAAGAACCCAGGACTCAGGTGACTAACTGAAAGGAATGAACCCTTTGGGGCTTCATGAGTGGTGCCTCAAACCCCACCATTTATTTTTACAGCCAAGAAGCTAAGCCTTTATCAGGTTCTGGCACCCAATGCATTCTCTCCCGTGGAGGAATTTGTGCCTATTCTCCGGAAGACAGTATCATCAACTATCCATGAGGTAACTCAGATTCAGAGTTCTGTCCAGTCCTTTGCAGGGGAGCTCCTGCGTGGTATTTCCTATCTGAAATGTTCAGGAAATAGAAGTCATAAGACAGAGCCCATGGAGCAAGGGCCTGAGGGCCTGGAGTGGGATGGAGGCATTCCACCCAGGACTCTAGAACTCTCATCAAATCTACTCTAACTGCTGTTTTTCAAAGATACAAAAATGAAACTTGGGAGACTGGGGTAAGAGGGAGTATATTGGGTACCACGGTCACCTCCTCCATGGAGGTTTTCCTCCTCCCCATTCAGAACACACTCTCTTTGTGTCCTTGCTGTACCTTGTACAGACTTCTACTATCGCTCCTGTAATGCGCTAATGTGTGTATTTGTTACATGTCTAATCCCCACCAAAGTATGAGCCCTTTAAAAGAAAAAGCTCTACTCCAACCCTCTATCCCCGATATCTAGTACAAGTAAGCACTCAGTGAATGGTGGCTGGAAGGAAGGATGGAAAGAAGAATGAAAAGGATGAATGAGCGGATGGATGGAAATGATGAATGAATAGGTAAAAGAATGGATGGATGGATGGTTGGATGGATGGATGGATGGAAAAGTGAACAGATGGAAGGATGGAAGGGAAATTGGAAGGATGGATGACAGGATAAAATTAAAAAGATGAAAGGATGGGGACTTCCCTGGTGGTCCAGTGGTTAAGACTCTGCACTCCCAATGCAGGGGGCCCGGGTTTGATCAGGGAACTAGATCCCGCATGCCACAACCAAGATCCCGCACGTGGAAACAAAGGTCCCATGTGCTGCAACTAAGACCCGGGCACAGCCAAATAAATACATTAATTAAATAAATAAATATTTTTTAAAAAAAGACGAAAGAATGAAAGTAAAGATTAAAGGAAGGGTGGAAGGATGGAAAAATGGAAGGACGGTGTAATGGTAATGGGCGAATAGAAAGATCAGTGGAGGGACTTCCCTGGTGGTCCAGTGGTTGAGACTCTGCGCTCCCACTGCAGGGGGCATGGGTTCGATCCCTGGTTGGGGAACTAGGATCCCACATGCCACACCGTGTGGTCCAAAAAAAAAAAGAAAAAGAAAAGGAAGGAAAAGTAAGATCAGTGGAAAGGCAGAAGAATGAAAGGAAAGAGAGAGTGTGGGCATGTAGAGTTCTGGCAGCCCATGGATGGATGACTAGATGGAAGGAGTGATAATTAGAGATATGACAACTTGGTGGAGGATGAAAGAACAAAATGAATAAATTTGATTTTCAAAGTGCCCATGAAGGCCCATCTGGGTTCCCAAACCTAAGAACTCATGGCTAGTATGTTTTAAGGTCTCCAACTCTGCTATTACCAAACCTCCAGCCATATCTTGTAGTAAAGACTCTGATGTTCAGAAGAGCCTCCTGAGAAGGGAACTGGCTTGCTGTCAGGCACAGTTCATTCAGGGGACTGCATCCCGAAGACCCTCTGCTGCCAGCTCCAGACAAGGCAATGGCCTGGTGTGTGGGGAAGAATCCAACCCCAGATGTGCTAAGAGCCCATTTCCCTCTCTTGCATCTCACTTGGAGAGCCCAGTGGCCAATTTACACTTAAAATCCTTCCCCACCTGTGCTTCTGTTCACCTGTTCCCCTCCTGGCCACACCTGAGTGCAGAAGGCAATGGTACAATTTGAATGGCATGATGGGACAATGAAGAATATTCACGTGGACCTGCCCTTCCTGTATGAGTACCAGGTCAGTGGTGGGCCCCATCAGTCAGAATATGGGGTGCGGGGAGGGAGATGGGTGGAATGTGGAGGCACCAAGCCATTGACTGAACTCCCTCTTATAAACAGAGACTGTGCTCCACCCACAGGCCCCTGTGGAGCTTTCTCTACCTCCTCCCCAGGCAGGGACCTGGATCAAAAGCCTCTGATCCTTTGGGTCAACATTTACCTCCTCCCCATTTAAGGCAATGAAATACTTTGACTCTTCCCTTCCTGATCCTGTGGCAGACTCGTCCATGCTTTAACGGCATGTTTGTACTGCCTGGATACCCATGGCCTTGACACACCATTCCCAGAAACCAAGTGGGGTACACCCCCTTCCCCCCAGACCCCTTAATCGGCCATGCTCTGCGCAGTCGCTTACTGTGTGTGGTGCATGAGTTTGCAGAAGCAGCTCAGCAGAGCTATGCGGATGTATGAGAGACGGATCGAGTGGCTCTCCTTGGCCAGCAGAAGAATCTGGGGCACCGTCTGCGAAAAAAGGTACCTAACCCCAGTAATGTTCTTGTCCTTCATGGGTGTCATGTGTGACACAGCACTCAACCAACTCATGAATTCCCTGTTGGTAGCATCAGAAGCCATCATTTAGATTAAGGATCAGTAATCACTCAGCAGAACCCCTGGAGGGAAAAGTCACCACCATCATCCCCAACATCAGCAAGCATCACTCAATACCAACAATGTCACTCAGGAATCTTTCTGCTAAAAAGCAACAGAAACCAAGTGCAAATTGACTTAAACAAATCAGGGAAGTCTGGTTAAGGTAACTGAAAATTCTAGACTAGATTTGATAGCTGTCTTCAGGCATGGCTTGCTCCAGAGGTTCATGCATGTCAGGAATCTCTCTCCATCCCTCAGCTCTGTTTTCCTCTCTGTTCGCTTTGTTTTCAGGCTGGCTTTGCCCTCCAGGTGGCAAGATAACCACCCCAAGCTCTCAACTTCCTGCCTTCCAGTTTAGTACTCCCAGGGCTTGGGGCAAGGGTCCATCCTTGAGCTATTCACTAGGGCCAAGAGGGTTTGATGTTCTGATTGCCTGGGGTCAAATGTCCACTCTCAAAGCTTGGGCTGGCGTCAGCTCTACTCAACTCAAATGGACTGTTAGAGACAGAGGTATTCCCCCTCCTCGCCCCCCCAAAATCAAGATGCTGCCGTGAGAAGAGGTAATGGATGCTGAGTAGGGAGAAACAATAGGTATCCAAAATATCATTATCGCTTCCATACCTTACTTGATGCCTTACCACCTACCAAGTATTATGCTTTGTAATACTCTTCATCTATTATATCATTTACTTCTCAAAGCAACCCTATGAAGTCTCATTATAAATAGTTTATAGTTAAATATGCCAAGGATCAGAGAGGTATTGTGACTTGCCTAAGGCCACACAGGAAGTGGGACTTGAACCAAGGCCTTCTGACTCTATCCAGTGGATTTTCTTTTGCTATCCATAGCTGTCTCAAAATGAGGATGGGGGGGGAGGAGATGGGACTATAAGATTTGAAGTAATAAAAGGAGAAGGCTGAATAGCACTAGAGATCTTAAAACAGAGAGAGAAAATAATGATACATTTCCCCAGAGGCCCCAGTTACGCCTAATTCCCCATCTAACTTGCTTAGCTTGTTTCTGTTTTCCCTTCATAGACCCCAACCTATAATAATATTGAATACTAGTAATTTAAAACAAGGAAATGTACGAAATCATTATATGCAGCCCTGCCCTTAAACCATCTCCACCACGAGGCTTTATACCATGATAGACCCTCCTGGAGAGAAGGTTCTACTGTTGTAAACCCGCCTGTGTTGACTTCAGACCATGGAGATTTGGCCAGCTATGAATTTGGCATGCAGAACTCCCCTGGAAAAAACGTTAAATAGTAAAATGGAACAAAATAAACATTATCTGAGAGGTTCGGTTCTCCTCTTAAAGCTTGTGTTTCTTTTTAGGGTGGTTATACTGCTCGATATCTCTGTGACCAATTCCATGTACATTATTCATATCCAGCACTCCCTGAGACTTCTGCTGGAGGAGCAGCTGTCCAACAAGGACTGCTTCAACATCATCGCGTACGCTCCCGCTTCCTGCTTCCCGCTTCCTGCTTCCCGCTTCCCGTGGTGGGGAGGGCGTGTGCACTCGGATGCCATCCCTGGGCTGAGGCTCCTGGCAGGACAACAGATGTATGGGCACCCAGCATCCTAGGAGGGCCATCAGTTTATCTGATTTGAATGATCTTGTTTGGGGCATTGAATAATTAAATGGTTGCAGGACAGTCCCACTGGGGCGAAGGTGATAAGCGGACCCAAAACACATTGCTTGATCAGCCAGGATAAAGTAACTCAGCCCATTGCCCCATTTGGCTACCAAGCTGATAAACACAAAAGAGAAAAAGAAGGGCCCCCAGGCTTGGTTCATAGCTCAGTTCTAGCAAGCCACAGTATTTCAAACATTCAGAATTCCAATTATAAATTTTAATTATACATAGATATATCAATATAATTTTTGTATATAGTTATATGTTGTGTATTATATATAGCTATATAGAATTAAATTATACAGTTATATATAAAACTATATATTTAAATTATATATAAGTATATATAGTATAAATTAAAACTATATAACTATATATTTAAATTATATATTTTATATATAAATTTTAAATATAAATAAATTTAAAATGTAAATATTCAATATATAACAAGTGTTTACATATACATTTAAATTATATGACTATATATAATACTATATATATTTGTTATACTTCTGTCTACATAGTTACTTATATTTTTAATCTATAATTATATATAATTTAAATATATGTATAGTTATATATATACATTTTTTAATTAATTTTAATTTTGGCTGCATTGGGTCTTCGTTGCTGTGTGTGGGCTTTCTTTAGTTGCGGCATGTGGTCTTTCTCTAGTTGCGGCGAGCAGGAGCTACTCTTCATTGCCATGCATGGGCTTCTCATTGCAGTGGCTTCTTTTGTTGCAGAGCACAGGCTCTAGGCACGCAGGCTCAGTAGTTGTGGCGCACGAGCTTAGTTGCTCGGCCGCGCATGGGATCTTCCCGTGACCCTGCATTGGCAGGCAGATTCTTAACCACTGCGCCACCAGGGATGTATATATATATATTTATATATATATATATTCATTTATTTATATATTTTATAAATATATATAAATATATATTATACATATAAAATATTTATGTATATTTTTATACATATAAAATATATATAAACATATATATTTTTTATACAACTTCACATGAAATAGGGAGTGTTCTAAACCTAATAAGTCAGCAGTTAATATTATATATTAAACTGTACCAGAGTCTAATCTTTCCCTAATAAATTCTACAGAAAAAATGCTTAGAGAAGCATTTTGGACAATATTTTCATTCATTCATCCATCCATCCATTCATTCATTCAATGAACTTTTATTGAAAGCCTGCCATGCACCGTCACTATGCCAGGCATTAGGGATAGAGAAGCTAAAATACACAATACCTATCCTCAAGGAATTTATGGGCTAGTAGTAGGAGACAGGTGTGTCAAAATATAAGTGCTATTAAATGTTTTCTGAAGAAATAAGTAAAAGGGAGGATATGGGACTTTGAGGGCTCAAAGGCAGGGTCAGTCTATTCCACCTGGGTAGAGTAAGGTCAGGAAATCTTCACAGAGGAAGTGACCCTTTAGCTGAGTCTTGACAAATGAGTAAGTGTTTGCCTAGCGCATGGGAGTGATGGAGGAAATGGGGAGAAAGGGCGTTCCAGGTGTAGGGAACAGCATAAGCAGAGGCACAGGGGTGTGACGGACGTACTACAGAACCCTGGGAACTGTCAGTGTGAATAGTTCAGTGTGAGTCAGGGATGAGAGGGAGAGACTGGGCATGACCAGAAAACAAAATAAAACACCAGGGGATGGAGGCTTTATATGGGAGTTTTTATACTATAGGACGTATAGGTATTGAAGGATTTTAAGCAAGAGAATAATCTTGAAACGCTCGAGCTACCAGGGGAAGGATGGACTGAAAGGATGCGATACTGGTGGGGAGACCAGTTAGACCACTGCAGGGGTAGAGGGGGCTTGAGCCAAGGCAGTGGAAATGAAAGACGGGGAGGCCTGTGAGGGGTGCGGGGGAGTTAGAATATACAGAATGCAGTCACTGTTTGGCTGTAGGGGATGAGGGAATGGTGAGGAGAGGATGTGCCAGGTGGAGCAGAGCTTGGAAGATAAACATATAGAGTTTGAGATCCTCAGGAGTCTGGGGATTCTCCTGTTAGGAGCTCTAGCCAAGAAGTACGGGTTTGTGAGCCATCAGCATTTTGGTTGAAGACATGGGAGGGCAAGAATTACACCTGTGGAGACGTGAAGGGGGAGAGATGACAACCAGGGACAGAACTTGGGAAGAACTGCCATTTGGAGTGTGGGCAGAGAGAGGGAACCGCCAAAGAAACGAGAGAGGAACAGCCAGAAAGGCAGGAGGAAAACCAGGAGAGAAAGGTGTTTACGCTTTCCCAAGGGAAAAAAAACAGAGTTAGAGCCTGCAGAAGCAAAGAAGGAAGGGGAAGAATGCAGGAATCCACTGAATCGGGCAGTAGCGCTCCCTGATAGGAAAACAATGAGATATAATGTTTCTGCAATTCATTTTGGCAAGTATTTAAAAGATTGATAATACCCAGTGCTGATGATAATTTGGTGAAAAGGGCACTCTTGGAAAGTATTGGTGGAAGTGTAGTTTGGTATAGCCCTTGTATTAAATTTTTTATTCCAGTATAGTTGATTTACAATGTTGTGTTAGTTTCAGGTGTAGAGCAAAGTGATTCAGTTTCATATATATATATGTATATATATATATATATTCTTTTTCAGATTCTTTTCTCTTATAGGTTATTACAAAATACTGAGTATAGTTCCCCATGCTAGACAGTAGGTCCTTGTTGATTATCTATTTTATATATAGTAGTGTGTATCTGTTAATCGCAAACTCCTACTAATTTATTGCGTGTCAACCTTGCGCAGGGACCATACTAATCTTCTTGGTATCGTTCCAATTTTAGTATATGTGCTGCTGAAGCAAGCACTAAATCTTTTAAGTGTATGTTCTTTGTTCCTTCGATTAAGCCTTTCAGTGCAGAGTTCTAATGGTTGGCAAACCTGGAAAAAAGCAAGAGGAAATTGGTAAAATAATCCTGACAATAGAATTCTATTCTATTGAATAGAATAGAATATGCAACTATGCATATTTTTAAAATATGTATTTATTTTAAATACATTAAAAAATATGTATTTGTCTGCGCCGGCTCTTAGTTGCAGCCCGCGGGATCTTTTAGTTGTGGCACGCAGGATCTAGTTCCCTGACCAGGGATCGAACCCAGGCCCCCTGCATTGGGAGCATGGAGTCTTAGCCGCTAGACCACCAGGGAAGTCCTACACATTTTTTTTTTTTAATCCAAAAGAATATAGAACAAAGAGTTAACAGAAATTGGGGGGGGGATAAAATTGGAGGAATTTTCACTCTTTGTATATTGTTAGAATTTTTATCCAACTGAAATAGAGATATTTCCATGGGAGGGGGAAAGGAGGTCCTTGTTAATAGTTATCAGAGAACTGGGGAGGAAGCTGAACTGCAGGGGGTTGAGAAGCAGAAGATGAGGAGGACGTGGTAACACTGTTTTTCTAGGGAGCATGTCTGTGAGGGGGAAGAGGAAAGAGAGGGAAGTAGCTGGTAGACGAAGAAGTTATATTTAAGAGAGGCGATGGGGAAGACGGAAGTAGACGCTGGGCATGTGTGTGGGAGAGAGGTCACTGTGGGACAAGGTCTCAGAAGAGATTGGTGGTGGTGAAGTCAATAGCCCAGGTGGAGGAATCGCTCTTGAACCAGAGAGGGGACATCTTTTCCTTGATAAAGGGGATAAATCCTCTTCTCAAAGATTTAAGTTCTGTCTCATAGGGAAAATGAGCTGATACATATACAAAAGAAAAGCTATAGTGCAGATGGAGAGCGAAAAATGTGTTGTGAGGATGAATCAGAGCTAAAAAGGGAGAAACGACTTCTTCCCTGGGGGTGAGGAAGTTCACACAGAGAAGGGAGTGACCCTTCTTCAGGAGGGAAGTCTGGCCAAACTGGTGCTGGCTGTGTCTCCACTGAGGACACAGCTCTGCTCCCACCGTGAATGTGCTGAGACGTGTCATGACCAGCAAGGAGATCTTGTGGCTGGCCCAGGCCAGTGGCATCCTAACATTTTGGGGGTGTAATCAAAATCTTGCCCCCTTAAAATCCTGGGGAGCCCAAAGAGCTGGGGCATGTATTTTCCCCCTAAGAACAAGCCCTCTTTCCTTTTTTCCAAGGTTTGGAAGCACCATTGAAAGCTGGAGGCCCGAGATGGTTGCCGCGAGCCATAGCAACTTACAAAGCGCCTGGCGGTAGGTGACCTGCTGGGTCTGACGTCAGCCTCGCCTGTGCTATTATTTTCTGGCCCCCCTCCCCCAGAAAGTAGCTCTATCTAGAATCTTTGCCATCCGAGGGACTCAGGCATGAATCAGGAAACAACCGCCCTCCATTCCCCGCCCTCCCCCTCAGCATGGCCCTCCCTCTCAGCATGGCCCTCCCTGCCCCCCAGGTGGGTCCTGAGCCTGCAGTGTCAAGGCAGCAGGAACGTCCTCAGCGCCCTGCGGAAGGCTGTGGAAGTGGACTTCAAGGACAAAGACAAACAGCAATCACAGGGCATCTACCTCTTCACCGGGGGCATCCCTGACCAGGACATGGTGGGTAGGCCACGTCCTGGGCATCCCTTATCCTTCGCGACCCCACATCTTCTGCTAGGTGGACGCCTAGCAACTGGTTTCTCCAGCATGATTTTTCCAGTCTGGACTTTATCGTGCCAAAGAATCACCTGGAGATGTTGTTCAAATGCAGATGTTGTTAGACCTGGTTCCGGAGGGGCCTGAGAGTCTGCATCTCTAACAAGCTTCCACGGGATGTCGAGGATGCTGGTCTAGGATCTCAGGCCCAGCTCCCCGGCCAGGCCCTATTAAGATAGTAAGAGAAATGGTGACCCAGGCTCTTTCACCTTTCCATCCTCAGTGCCACATACTTACTAGACCAGGTACACAGTAGGTCCTCAAGAAAGCAATTAGGCTGAATTGACCCGAGATCAGCGGCTTGGAGAGCCCTCAGCTGTGGGCCCCTCCTCCCTGTCTCCGCACAGGCCATGCTCAGCGCCTACATGGCCGAGGCCCGTGTGGGCTGTGACTTACAGCTGAACGTGTGTCTCTTCTACGTGGGCGAGTCACAGATGGACACCACGCCACCTGCCTGCTATGCCAGCCGCAGTGACACGGCCGCCGCCTACCGGGAGTTCACCCAGGCTGCTGGGGGCCGCTTCCACTGGTTTGGAGACACAGGTGCGTAAGAGTTGGCTGAACTCGCCACATCTTTCTTTCCAGACAGTTGTCTCAGTGCCAATATAGCTCCCTATGCTATAGACATATTCCAGGAAAGCGGCATGTGAAAATCACATTTGCAAATGTAAAATTACTGTTCTGGAGATGGATGGTGGCGATGGCTGCAAGGCAGTGTAAATGTACTTAATGTTGCTGAACTGTACACTTAAAAATGGTTACAATGGTACATTTTATGTTATGTATATCTTCCCATAATTATTTTAAAGTGAAAAAGAAAAAAAGTAAAACTACTTAAAAATATTTTAGGGCTTCCCTGGTGGCGCAGTGGTTGAGCGTCCGCCTGCCGATGCAGGGGACACGGGTTCATGCCCCGGTCCGGGAGGATCCCACATGCCGCGGAGCGGCTGGGCCCGTGAGCCATGGCCACTGAGCCTGCGCGTCCAGAGCCTGTGCTCCGCAACGGGAGAGGCCACAACAGTGAGAGGCCCGCATACCAGAAAAAAAAAAAAAAAATATATATATATATATATATATTTTAGAATGTCAGGGCTGGAAGGGGCCCTAAAGGTCCCTTAGTTTAGCGTTTCTCAAAAGGTGATATCTTCACAGCAGGTGGTTGGCAAAATAGTTGTACATGGAACACAAAGCAACAATTTTTGGTCATAGCTGTAGGAGATCAGAATATGCCACCTCAATATGTGCCACTTTGGCATAAGGATTATTTTGAGCTGAAGACAATTAAGAAACAGCAGATGCCAAAAAACCTTTCTGCTTCCCCTTCCCCCATTTGCCTAAAAGCAGGACATAAATTTCTATGTCCTGCTTCTGTGCCAGGAGGAGAAGGGTGAATCTTAGACTCTTAAGCTCTGGTTGGCAGCTCTGGGCTCTTCACAGCACCAAGAGGAATCTACGTAACAACTCTCACCTAAAAAAACCTTGTCTTCCATTAGTTCCCCCCAAATATTTACCTTCCCACAGTTTGCCGGCCCTCAAAGCCAAACCCCATTTCCTTTGTCTTGTCATTTCTATTGTTCTTCCTTAAGATGCTACAGAAGCCCCAAGTTCCAACCACTCCCTCTGAGTAACTCATCGCTGAGTTTCTCCCCCATGTATGCACACCGCATGCATTAATAAACTCTATTTTTCTCTTGTTAATCTGTCTTTTGTCAGTTTGATTTCCAAGGCCCCAGCTGGAGAATCTAGGAGGGTAGAGGAAAATTTTTTTCCCTCCCTTAAATGGTTATATGATTGTTTTCACAATATACACAAATATCAAATCATTATGTTGTATACCTGAAAGTAATATAATGTTATATGTCAATTATATCTCAATTTTGTATATGTGTGTACTTTTAAGTAAATGAAAGTGAATTGATTAAAAATATATGTTAAGTAGATTATGGTTTAGATGATGTGCAGACAAGGCAAAATTGTGACGTGATTCAGGAGGGACTGAAGCTTGGGACATGCTAGTGCATTCTGACTTCTCTGATTTATGGATGAAGAAATGACTCCCAAGAACATGAGGTGCCTGTGGTTACAAAATTAGTGGCATAGCCAGGGGTGGAACTCATGAAAAGTGCTAGACATATACATTTAAGTTATTATTGTTGATTATTATTAAAATAGCAAACATTTATAGAATAGGTATTATATGCCAGACACGGTTTTACATATGCAGTGATTCATTCCTCACAATAACCCTATGAAGTGTGTTATTACTATTATCCCCACTTTACAGATAGGGAAGCTGAGACACAGAACCCAAAGCATAGATGTAGTAAGTAGTAGAACCAGGATTTGAACCCAGAGTCTGTCTTGTTAGTCATTATACTCTAGCCCCTCTCAAATGAGTCATATTTGAGATATTACTATACAGACATTATTCACTACAGGCATTAGCTACTTTAATTAACCCCAAGGTGGATCTTTTTATTCACTGGAGGAGCAGGACCTTTCCCCTGACCTACGCTTCCTGTGGGTGAGAGCTCTTGGCTGGGTGCCAGGGTGCTGGGTCCCAAGGCCAGCCCTGCTCTTGGTATCCTCACTATACCCATCCATCCCCTTTACCACCAGAAAGTATGGGGGGTGGCTAGTCAGCTAAGCCCATTAAGACCCCACCCTGCCCCTTAGGCTGAGGTCACCTCCACATGGCCCACGTGTTTACAGATGTGGACACTTGCCAGGATCTCCATCCCTTCCCCACGATCGATCATGACTTTGTTTGCTTTGTTTCCAGGTATTTACGAAAGCGATGATATCGGTGCCATCACGTCTGAGATGGAAAAGGCTCTCAACTACTCCCAAAAGGTATGCCTTAGGTGTGGGGCAAATGACTGCGCTGGCTTCTGTGTTAGGGTCCTGGGGCTGCCATATGAAGTACCACAAACTGGGTGGCTTAAAACAACAGACACTTATTCCCTCAGAGTCCCAGAGGCTAGAGTCTGAAATCAAGGTATCAAGAGGGCCATGTCCCCACTGAAGGCTCTGGGTAGAATCCCTCTTTACCTCTTCCTAGCTTCTGGAGATGGTGGCTGTTAAAGAAATGAAATTGCCCTGGACGCTTGTTAAAAATGGCAAGGAAGGGCTTCCCTGGTGGCGCAGTGGTTGAGAGTCCACCTGCCAATGCAGGGGACACGGGTTTGAGTCCTGGTCCGGGAAGATCCCACATGCCGCGGAGCGGCTAGGCCCGTGAGCCATGGCCACTGAGCCTGTGCGTCCGGAGCCTGTGCTCCACAACGGGAGAGGCCACAGCAGTGAGAGGCCCACATACTGCAGAAAAAAAAAAAAAAAATGGCAAGGAAGACATTATTCAAGACGACTGCAATCGGGGAGAGAGACTGAGCTCAACTCCGATTATACAGCAGAGATAGCTGGGCATTTATAGCCAGTGAGCAGAGTGAGAGGGTCAGTGGATGGAAAATTACTAAGATGAAGTTGACTAGATATCGAGGGTAGGGGGATTCTTGCTAAACAGGCTCAACAGGATTCTTTGCTAAAACTGGGTTCCGCAGGCCAAAGTCAAAGCCCAGTCAAGAAGAGGGCTCAGAGGAACATGACTAAAGTTTGGTCAAGGAGGGAGTCCTTGGCACCAGCAATCCTTGCCTTTCCTTGGCTTGTGGCAGCAGAACCCCAATCTCTGCTTCCATCTCCACATGGCTCTCCTCCCTCTGTGTGTGTGTCTGTGTCTCTTCTCCTCTTATAAGGACACCAATTGTATTGGATTAAGGGCCCACCCTCCCACTACAACCTCATTAACTTACATCTTAATTACATCTACAAAGGCCCTGTTTCCAAGTAAGGTCATGTTTATGGGTACAGGGGAACTTCAACATGCCTTTTTGGGGGATACAACTCATCCCACATCAGCTTTCCACCTTTGTGCCGATCCACAGACACCAAAGGCTTCCAATGAAATGTGAGAGTGTCCCGTAAGTCACTGGTTTCAGGTCTGTGTGCTCTACATCCTGGCCCGTACATTCTTGAACACATCAGCCTCATTCCTAAACTCAAGGCCTTTGTACCTGCCACTTTCTTCACCAACTGTTCCCCTCCCAGGTCATCCATGGATTGCTCCTTATGATTCAAGTTTCACTAAAATGTTACCTCCTCAGGGAGGGAGTTGAGCAGTTCAAGGTGAGATGAGAGCGGGACCAGATCACGTCGGGAGCAATGAGAATGGAAATAAGGGAACAAATGTGAGAACATGTCTTTAAGGAAGAATTGACCAAACTTGTGGCTGATTGAGTGAATGGGGTGAGGAAGAAGAAGAAATCCCATGACGACTCCCAAGTTCCTTGCGGCAGGACCTGGTAGACAGTGGTGCCATTGACCCAGAGAGAGAAAACAGGTGGGGATTCAGGGAGGGTGGGCCTAGAACAAAGGTGAGTTTGCGGGGCCTGTGAGATAACAAGTGGGGACATCCTTCAGGCAGGTGGATAAAGATGAGGCCTGGACATAGAGGTGTGGGGCAGCTCAAGCCATGAGGATGCACAGAGAACATGTAGGTGGACGTGACTCACATTTCAAAAACGACCATTGTCAGGACTGCCCGTCTCCCCAACTACATGGTGAGCTCTTGGGAGGGCAGGGCCATAGATTGGCAAACCTGCAGCTCCCCTAGACGTGCCTGAGCTGTCCTCCCGGAAAGGGTCCCTCTTTGCTGCTTTATTAAACTGCTTCTCTGGTGCACATTAGTCCTGCTCCCTCATCTGATAAACTCACTCACAAGGTGTTAATGGGCACTAATGGTTTAACCCACCCTTCTTAGGGTGTTAGTTACATTTGGGTGGTGTCTTCTAGTGCCTTGATTGAGAATAATTACTGAAGAATCTTGCAGGCAGTTGAGAGATATATAGGCAAAGGAACGAAGTATCACACCACTTCTGCCAGCATCCAGGGTCGGCCCTGGGCACATAGTGAGCCGACCGCCACATGTGGCTGCTGGGTCCACATATGGAGAGAACACTGGCTTTGGAACAAGACCTGCCTGGGATTGAATGGAAGATCCTCTACTTACTCACAGTATGGCCTTGGACAAGTCCTTTAAATTCATATGCTTTGGTTTCCTTACCTGTAAAATGGGGATAGGATAGCCCTTGCCCTGCCAGTGTAGTTGCATGTCTTGTTGGCAAGGAGGTTTGAGACCCCCAGGCAGTAACTAGCCCGGTGCCTGATGCATCCCAGGCCCTCCATACATGGTACTTATTATTATTATTATTTTGGCTGCATTGGGTCTTCGCTGCTGCACGCGGGCTTTCTCTAGTTGCAGCGAGCGGGGGTCTACTCTCCGTTGCGGTGCGCGGGCTTCTCATTGCGGTGGCTTCTCTTGTTGCAGAGCATGGGCTCCAGGCACACGGGCCTCAGCAGTTGTGGCCCATGGGCTCAGCAGTTGTGGTCTGCGGCCTCAGCAGTTGTGGCCCTCAGGCTCAGCAGCCGTGGCGCATGGGCCCAGTTGCTCCACGGCATGTGGGATCTTCCCGGACCAGGGCTCGAACCCGTGTCCCCTGAATTGGCAGGCAGACTCCCAACCACTGCACCACCAGGGAAGTCCCATGGTACTTATTATTAATAGGCCTGATCCACGGTGCTCTTGGCCCCAGACAGCACTCTAGGGACAGAAAGAGGAGTACAGGGGCCCCAGTGGCCCCAGCGCCTCCCGCTGTGTGTGTGTGTGTGTGTGTGTGTGTGTGCGCGCGCGCGCACGTGCGCGCGCGCCAGTGCCCTGCGTGGAGACACGCTGGCTCGGGTGCTGCTGACGCTCCCAATCCCCCTGCAGTGTGCCTTACTCGTGTCCTCTCTGAAGAACCAGTCTGGAAAGGAACAGGAAAGTGCAGTCCTCCTGAGAGAAAAGCCGAAGATGCTCAAGCTGAGAAGTCAGCCCGGGAAGCTCTGTCCCTCCAAGCCCACAGCACCCTCTGTGGCCAGAACGGTTTGACTCCCCTCCCTAATAACACACAGGGGATTCTGTTTCTGCCTTGTCTCCTGGTCTTTCCTAGATCTTGAAGTGGCCTGGGCCAGGCCCCCAGACCCCAGGGCCAGCAGAGGCGGGAGCAGGGTACTCAGTGGTCAGTGTCCTGGCCTCCAGGGGGAGGGGACCCCCGGGGGGCCTGCTTCTCAGCTCTGGCCACGCCTCCACCCCACCTTTGGCTCTGCCTGGCTGTCCCAGCTTTGCGGTACCAAGGGCTCCATGGACTCGGCACCCTCCGTTACACGTGCTGGTTGTAAGGCAAGAGGGCTTGTCCCGGAGGGTCTCTCGGGGCAAAGGAATTAGGGGCTTGGGGCATCTAATGGACCTTTCTGCTGCTGCCTGAGGCTTTTGGGGGCCTGATAGGAGCCTGAGGGTGGACCTGGGCCTGCCCGGGGCTGATCCCCGTTCACAGCCTGTCAAATCTGTCCCGCATAAAATACCCACCTCGGCAATCAGAAGGGGGCTCGAGAGGTGTGTCTGGGGGGGAGACCCCAGACTCCACAGCACTTGTGAGCAGAAGGGCAGTGAGATCTGTGAGCGCTTCAGCATTTCACCAACTGACAGGCTCTTGTGAACACAGCACACTTTCAGAATGAAGAAATCCACCCAAACCGTGTACAGCTAACTCCCTTCCTGGAGTCAGCACTTCCGAGCGGTTCTGTTCCCATGGGCACTGCCCTCATGTACAGAACTCCACCAGGTTTTGGGCGCCGGCCCAGAGACATCACGCCTTCCCGTCTTCCCAGATTCTGAGGTGAAACCCCGCGGTCTCGGAGTCCGCCTTGGGCCTTCAGTGGTTCCCAAACTGGCTCGGTTACAAGGAGGCTTGGGCTGCGCCAGGGCCTCTGACAGGCCTCCTGAAATGCAGGTGTGGGAAGCTGGGTTGCTGGCGGGTAGCTCTCTGGGATGGCAGCTCTGGGCGTTTTTCACAGCCGCCACCCAGAAGTCTCCTCTGCTGGTCCAGGCCCTGGGTAACTTTGTTTAACCATCACCACGTTCCAGTTGTACCCGGTAATGAAGGAACCCCTTCCTTAAAACCGAGGTGCCCAATAGGGCATGGAAGTTACCTGAGTGGTTGCTTGTCATGCTGGAGGCCCAGAAATCCCAGTCCAGTAGGAAGAGGGGCAGGTAACTGGTGAAGAAAGTTCAGGCAAATCCCCACAGTTGTCCTAGCAGGCCCTCTCTCATAACACACGCACACACATGCGCACACACTCTCCACACACATGCACGCACACTCTCTCACACACAGATGCACGCTCTCACACTCCCCCACACACTCATGCACACACACATGCACATGCACACACGCACGCACACTCTCTCACACACGCACACTCACACACTCATGCACACACTCACATATAACGCACACCACTCACACACACGCATGCACATGCACACACTCATGCACACACTCGCAAACACAGTCACACACTCTCTCTCTCTCACACACACACACACACACACACACACACACACACACACACACACACACCCTTTTCACCTCAAACCCCGGAGTCCTCTCCGAATGCACAACAGGAGATGGGACGAGCATGTGAGAAGTCTACTTCCTGAGGCCTCGCCATGCAAAGGTTCCTACTTGACAGATTGAGGCTGGGATGACTGGGGTACTGCCCCCCACAGAGAACAGACCTCTGATGGAAAAGACTGCTGTTTTCTAGAGCATTAAAGATGACCCTGACAGAGAGAAGAGTCCCCCCTTGAAAGCTCTGCTATGGAGTCCACTCAGTGGCAAAGCGGGCGTCCCCCCAGGTAAGCAAGGCCCCGGGGGTGGAGGGGCGGACAAGCACGGCTGAGGCATGGGTTCGTGATGACAGTAACTAAAGTGATCAGCAATCGTGCGCCAGCCCTTCTGCTAAGGTTGTCCCATTTAAAGCTTATAACAATCCGTCCTGTATGGCAGGGAATCTATTAGTTCCTCCATTTTACTGATGAAGAAATTCAGGCTCGGAGGGGCTAAGAATAATGTCCAGTGTCAGCCAGTCATGACAGGGCACCAGTATTTTTATGAAAGTACTCAGCTCATAGAACCTAAGACCATGTGTCTTCTAATGTCAGACACATAGCAGAGCAGCTCAGAGCAGAGTTCTGGAGTCAGCAAGACCTGGATGGCATCTTTACTCTGCTTCTTACTGACTCTGAGTCCCACTTACCTCATCTGTAACCTGGGTTACTATGAGGATAAAACAAGACAGGCTACGGGAAGCACTTCGTACCAAGCCTGGTATATATCAGCAGCTCTGGCTTTACTGATCCAGGGGAGGCCAGAGGACCCGGGTAGTCCCAAAGGACCTCAGATCCGCCTGGGAGCCCCATTTCAAGGGCAGAGCATAGCTGAAGTTGACTAGTCTCTAAGCCAAGCTGCACAGCTTCACCACATAAACCCTCAAGGCTGCTCCAGCCGACAGGCCAAATGTCCTCTAGCTACAGCCCAGCCAGTGAAAGAAGGGACTGCAGATCGGAGGAGGAAGACCAAATCAAGGGACGCAGAGACCTCTCTCTCGCTGTTCTATACAGAGACAGGGAATAATGTGGGTAAGTCGGAGGCTGCACAGATGTCTGGACAGCCCCCTTTCCCCGTGGGACCTGGAAGGTGATCAGGCCCCAAGGAAAGGAGAAATCTCCCGCAGTCCCTGGACGTGGGCAGTAGTGCACCCCAAGCAGGCCTATCCTCAAACCACTCACATCTCCCAGCCCAGGGAAATGAGCTTGCAAAGTCTTGACACAGGCAGGAGAGTGGGAAGAATTGATGCCGGCGTCCCCCCAGGTCCCTGGGCGCGGCGCTCCTGCTCTGTGCATGAGGGGCAGTGTCCTCAGACTGATGGGAAGGGAGTGGAGATGAGCCTCCCAGGCCAGCCGGATTGATTGCTGTGAAATGGCACGGGTCCCGGTAGCAACTCATTGACATGTAGAGAAGGAAGATCCCAGCATGCTTCCCCAGATCAGCACAACAGCCTCCCTCCTACCCCTCAGCAAATTGCACCTAAGGAATGTTACAGCTGACTTGATTGACAGAGAAATTGACATGGAAAAGGGAGGCTAGGGTAAGAGAATTGCACAAAGTAACCCTGCTCTGTTTCTCCCAGGCTTCGTGTACAGGAAGTACCCTCCAGGAAGAGGCCTAAGAAGGACTAGCTCTTCTATTGAGTTGCCCAGAAAGGATACAGTCTGCTCCAGCCTAGAGGTATTATGCTGTCTGCACGCAATAATTATGCCCCCACGCAATAATTCCTTCCACCAACCATTATTTCTAAGAGGGTGGGTATACTTGGAATTGAGGCCAAACCTGCTTAGAATGACTGTTTAAAGTGTCAGGATAAGGATTCAATAGAACTACGTGGGAACCTGGGTCTGCCACTTCCTAGCTGGGTGACCTTGGGCAAGTCACTCAGTCTCAATGTCTTCCTTTATAAAATGAAAACAATTGTACCTAATAGGATTGCTGATTAATTGAAGTATATTTTGTGTAAAGTACTTAGTGGCGTCAGATCCTTTTGGATGCAAGCAGCAGAAATCCGCCTTCTTGTACAGATCCAGAAGATAGAACATCTTTTCTTCCCACAACCGGTCAATAAAAGTCTGAGCTTGGTTCTGACCCTGGATGCCATGCTCTGATTGCTTTAAACTGAGCCATTCTTGTATCTCTCATTGTGACAAGGAGCCTGAGACTATCCTCATTGGTTTAGAGTCTAAACTTTAGAACAATCAGGGTTTCCATTCAAATTTCATGGGAGAGGGTTGAAATGGAAACTGGGGAGGCAACAGTATCCACCAGACTAGGGAGTAGTAAGTGCTCAATAAATTTTGTTCCCTGTTCCCCGTATTTCTTGTGCATCTCTCCCCAGCACAGGGGCAGGAATCTGAATGTGATGGAGGCTCAGTGAGGACCTGGGAACCCCACATTTCAAATACAAGACAGATTTCAAACATGAGGTTTTAAAAGATGAGTCAATCATTCCATTAAGCCTGAATTACCCAAGATAATAGTTCTTTCCCTTATTCTAAAGTGGGTAGCAAATTATGGACTAAAAAAACTGAAGATGGAGATCTCCAGATACCTCGGTCCCAAATGCACTCATCAAAGGTCAACACAGACGTCGGCGTCAGCCAAATACTGCAGTATCTTCCCCAGCACAGAGATCAACGTAAGTCAAGGTTGGTGTCGGTTTTTTTCCTCCCAGCTCCTGTCTCTTCTCAGGCACAAATGGCTGAGTGTGTTGGGGAAAACTCCCCATGAATGTATGCCCCTGGCTTCAATTCCTGCTTCTAAGAACCCCACCCCGCAAAGGGGGACTGCCCTCAAGGAATAGGAGTTGCAGAATCCTGTTGGAAGAAAAGTCAGCCCCTCAGAGTGCTGGAGACCATGCTCTAGGGTTAGAGGGGCTCAATGGAGTGAGAATTAGAAACAACTGCCGAGAATGCAGGGCAGTGGCTGGAATCCTCACTAATAAGAGCTCTGTACCCTGACACTGACGATGGTCCCATCAGGATGGCCGGGAACAGCGGTTATGACAGGAGGTGAGGGGGTTCTCTATTTTCTCGTTTTGAGGTCATTTTTTTTTATTGCTTTGACACTGGAACAGGTACATTTAGTAGAAAATGAAAATCTAATCGTGCTTTTAAAACAGAGACCCCATTTTCTCTCCTTGCCCTTTGATATGACATTGTCAGCTATAAAGCTAAAAATAGCCACCAAATTCAAAATTATCCGCCAGAAAAATTTTATGGGAGTTTAATCATGCTGCCCCCCTCCTCCATCAGAGGTCGTCTTTTAGTTTGAAATGCATCGACCTCCCATCCTACCATTAAGGGTTTTCTATTTAAAATTTAGAGATACTATGTTTTTTTCTTATTATAGTGACCACATCTGCCAAAGAAATCGTCATCCCAATTCCCACACACCTTCCGAGAACTATGCATTTGGTAGTTCAATAAAAGAAAAAAGCTTTTAAACAAACAGACAAAAATGTATGTTAACAATGTTTTGAAAATTGTGAACCACGGTAGACTAAACTATTTTAGGGGGTAATGGGGAGGTGAAGAAATAGGGGACGGGGTTGGAATTTCCCTTTGCTTGCCTTAATCCAGGGCATGGTGAGACACATTCAGTGTACACCCAGGGAAATCGAAGCGTACATCACACACCTGGAGAAGGTGATGCGGTGCTATGTCCAAAGGCTGCAGTGGCTGCTGTCTGGTGAGCCTGCCTGCTATCCTGGAGGGCGGACAAGCGTGATGGGCAGCGGGAGGGCAACCCCAGGGACCCCAGGGTCAGTCCTTCTTCCCAGGCTAGGCGCTCACAGACTGTCACCCAGGGGCAACATGACTTCTGGGTTCAGAGGTCAGGCAAGGTGCTGGATGACAGGGCGGTGGAGCACGAGCCAGAGCAGCAGGGAGACCCAGGCCTGGTCAGGCCGCTCTGCCAGCTCGTCTCCCACACCTCGCCTCCTGGGTGTGACTGAAGGGCTGCTGCCCCTCAGGAGCCTCAATTTAGTATTGATTGGGCCCCACAGAACCAGTCCATGAAGGTAGAGATGGGAGGGGCTCCGGACAGAGAAGATGCCCCTGTTCTTCTTTACAGAGAGCACCAAGGCCCCTCTGGGAGAGGTGAAAGGCAGGGCTGGCTGAGGAGAGCCAGGCTCACATCCCAGAGGAGGCTGGGCTGGGCATTAGGAGATAGTCTGAAGCATCAAGGCCAAAAGGCCGGGCAGACAGCTAGGACTGAACCGGAGGCTCAGTTCAGGCTTTGGGGCCTGGAGGGTTCCTGGGACGATAGAGGAAGGATCCCAGGGTGGGCCACTCAGGTGCCTGCCCAAATTCATTAGGTCCAGTCCTCTGCAGTAGAACCTGGTATAAACAGTCCTTGGGCTGCCTGCTGCTTTCCAAAGCCTCTGGAGCGGGCGGCAAGCTCAGGTGCAGCTGTCAGGTCAGAGGCTGAGGCGGGGCGACGAGGTCGTGTGTGTATTCCCAACACACACTTCCCGCCGGGGAGAGTGTGAAGGGCAGCCGTGCAGCCGCTTCTTGTGTGGTATGAGTCGCGCCCCCACCTCACATACAGCTACACACCCAACACCATCTAACACCTCCGAACGTACCCAGGGCATGCTGCACTGAGCCACTCATTCATTATTCAACGAATAAGTGTTGTTCTCCCGCTCCGTGCTGGGGAGGTGGTAGGGGAAACACTTCACAGGTTCCCTGAGCTCATGGTCTAGGGGAGACAGTTGTTACCCAAAGAGCAGGGTGACAAGTGTAAGGAGGAGACAGGCATGGTGCAGTGAGAGAGGGACAGGGAGCCTGCACAGAGAGATCACGGAGGGCTTCCCAGAGGAGGTGACATTTGAGCTGAGATCTGAAGAATGAATAGATGTCACCTGAGGAAAGAGAGGGAAGACTCTCAGGGCATGACTGAGGTGCTCAGCGGGGGAGGAGGCTGAGTACAAAGACTGAAGGAAGCAGGGTGGCTGAGATTAAAGGGTGCCACCACTCCAGGGAGATGAGACCATGGCCCAGACTTTATCCTAAGAGCAATGGGAAGCCACTAAAAGGTTTTATATAAGGGGAAAGTGATGAAGTTAGCATCGGCAACAATCCCTCTGGTTGCTGCGTGGAGTATAAATTGCTGAGGGGACGGAGTGCAATCAGCGGAACCTAGTAAGAATCCAGGGGAAAGATTAGGATAGCTGGGAAGGGTAGTGATGATGGAGACGGACAAAAAAAGCAGAGTTAGGGAGGCGATAACGGCGGGGCTCGGTGGCTTGCAGGGTGTTTCCGCTGTCTGGTTCCCAAGATGGATCAGCTGGCCTTCTGTGGTGGGAGGCCCCTCGACCAGCTGGCTAGCTGTCCCCGCGGAACGTCCCACACACCTCAGGATGGCTCCCCTCATGTCCTTATGTTGCCATGAGCATTGCCAGAGAACAGCCCAGATGAGTCCTGGAAGATTCCTGGGCAGGGGGTCCAGCCAGCTCAGGCCACCTTTTCCTGGAGACCAGTGGACCGTTTTTGCAGCAGTTTTCCATTTTTTCTACTCCTGCCTCCAGTGAGGGCTGAGGTGTGATTCGGGAATGCTGTACACGCCATCTTCTTCTCTTTGGCTTCCCCCGTGTTACCTCCGTTTAGCCTTGGGGCACCAGAAGGGCTGGGGTTAGCGGTTGCCTTAAAGTGTGGATCAGAGGACCTGGATGTGAATCTCGGCTTCGCTGCCAGGCTGTGTGACCCTGGGCAAGTTACTGGCCCTCTCTGTTTCCCCTTGGGATAAATCCCAAATCCTTTAACAACCTCTCCCGCTTTCTCTCTGTCCCTCAAGCATGACATGCTCCTCTCTCCCACTCAGAGCCTTTCACAGTCTGTTCTCCCCACACACACCCCCTCTCATCCTTCAGCCATAGCTTGTCTGCTCCCCATCCCACGTCCATCAAATTCAGATTCTCCCAAGTACGTGCTTCTTAACTTTGTGTCATAACGCTCAGCAGAGCGGTAGCTGTTGGTATAACATCCATCTTCCCTGCCTGACGGCTATCTCCGTGAGGGCAGGGACACTCTCTCATCTCCGCCGCACTTTGCTCAGTGCCGGGCACACAGTGCACGCTCACTTGATTTCTGTCAGCCAATCTACAGACTCCATGCTCTGTAACATCATTTCCAGCCCCAAACAATACTGTGACACCGCTTAACCCAATCACTTAACTTTAGGGGTGAGGAAGCTCAAGCCCAGGGAAGTTATAATCACTTGGGCAAGTCATCCCAGGCAAAGCCACAGCCGAAACCTTGACCTCCCAAAGCCCAGTCCACGCACCGGCTCTGCCCTTGGACAATGACCCCTCTAGCAACACCACAGAGGCCATCTCCCAGTGGGTTCACATCTGATCTGTGATCACTCAGGCAATGGGTGTGGCAAGACCTTGGATTTGATAGCTGCAGTGAGGAGAGCCACCCTCACTCCTCCCCTGCCTCTGCCTCCATCCGCCTCCGAGCAGGGAGCCGCCGACTCTTTGGTGCCATTTTGGAGAGCAAAGTGTGCATCCTGCTGGACACATCGGGATCCATGGGCCCCTACCTGCAGCAGGTGAAGACAGAGCTCACTCTGCTGATCTGGGAACAGCTGTGGAAGCACTGTGACAGGTAAGAGGCAGGGGTGCTGGTGCGCGGGGGTCAGGAGATCCAAGGGATAGTTCCTGAGGCTCCCCTGGCCAAGGTCACTCCCTCCTCAACACTTATAGAGCACTTTCCCTGTGCCAAGCGCTTTACATGCGTGACGTCATTCAGTCTGCACAACGGTCTTATTATTATCCCCATTCTTCAGCAAAGGAAACAAGGGCTTAGAGAGGTTAAATCATTTGCCCAAGATTGCATAACCAGTAAGTGGCTGAGGTGGGATTTAAATCTATTTCTGTCTGCACCCAGAACCTTCACTGTGTATGTTCTCATCCTCCAGTGGTCCACAGGGGCCCAGGGCTTGCTGTAGGGTCTTCAGGGATAGGTGTGAGTCCTCACGGAGGTTACTTCCCCTGAGGTCAGTATAGACGGGTACGTTCTAACCAATCTCTTTCACCTCCTCTCCGCCCCCCACCTCTTCTCCACTCTCCACAGTTTTAACCTGCTCAGCTTTGCAGAGGGCCTACAGCCATGGCAGGACACTCTGGTGGGGACCACAGACGCAGCCTGTCACGAGGCTATGCAGTGGGTGACCAACCTGCATGCTCAGGGGAGCACCTCAGTCTTGCAAGCATTGCTGGCAAGTTCCACCACCAAGCCTGACCCAGTGGCAAAGCAGAAATACCATCGCCCCTATCCTGACATTGCATCATGCTTTGCAGTTTACAAAGAGCACTTTAGAATTTACTGTTAAATCATTTCATCTTCCCAGCAACCCAGTGAGGATGAGATTCTCGCTGTTCTCACTTTATAGATGAAGACACAGAGGCCCAGAGAGGTTAAGTGACTTGCTTGGGGTTAACCAGCTAGGAAGTGAGCTGAGCTCTTTCTCCTAAACCTCAGCAGCTTCCTGGTCTGTCATAGGCTGAAAGAGGAGGCTCTCAGTCTTAATGACAAGTGGGTGAGATCCAACCAGACTTGGGGACAGCGGGCCAGTGGTTTCTGAGTCCCGGTTGGCCCCTCTTCTGAGCCAGACAACCTACATGCTCTCTCAGAAAGCTTTCAGTTTTCCTGATGTGGAAGGACTGTACCTCCTGACGGACGGGAAGCCAGACACAAGCTGCAGCCTTATCCTCAGTGAAGTCCAAAGACTCACGGAGAAGAGAGACGTGAAAGTGCACACCGTCTCCCTGAACTGCTCAGACAGGTGGGCGGTCAGGAGCTGTATCCCTTCCCCACGGCCGCGTGTCTGAGGGGCAAGGCTCATCCTCACCTAATCCAGGGACTCACGTTATACGCTGAGCTCTCCTGGGCCCAAGTCCTGTGTGTGAGCAGTTAGGAGGCCCTGGGCAGGCATTACACCGGAGAGAGCCCCTCGGTGCCCCTGCCCACCCATCAGCATCCTGACTTTCTCCAGCGTGGAAGTGGATTTGCACCGATTCCCACAGTCACACGCTGTGTTCTCCCATTTCGTCTTCCTTGGGGGTACATTTGTGAATATTTAGGGGGAAAAAGTTTAAAGTAGCTATGTTTTTTTGGTTTTTTTTTTGCGTTACACGGGCCTCTCACTGCTGTGGCCTCTCCCGTTGCGGAGCACAGGCTCCAGACGCGCAGGCCCAGCGGCCATGGCTCACGGGCCCAGCCACTCCGCGGCACGTGGGATCTTCCCGGACCGGGGCACGAGCCCATGTCTCCTGCATCGGCAGGCGGACTCTCAACCACTGCACCACCAGGGAAGCCCGCTATGGTTATTGTTATAGAAGAACATGTGTTAGACAGGAGAGATTCAGCTCCTTCAGAACATTCATATTTAATCTCTCTGTCTAAACCGTGAGCTCCGTAAAGGTCACACTGTGTCCCTGCCAGGCCAGACACATAGTAGGCACTGGATAGATGTCCAGTTAAGGAATGGGGCCCCGTGCTTTGAGGGTGACCCTCATACGGTGAATCCACTTCACACAGCAGTAGCCACTGCCACCCAAATACCAGCTGGGAGAGTGGGCTTGGTGATGCTGAAACAGTCTCAGTGGCACAGACCTCAAGGTCCGAGACCCCTTACCCCACTCATGTGACTTCCCCAGGGGCTGGGGGCTCACAGAGACCTCGGTGGGCCTGGCTCCAGCCCTCTGTTCCTCCCCACAGGACAGCGGTTAGCTTCTTGAGAGATCTGGCCTCTCTTACTGGGGGCCGCTATCACTGCCCTGTCGGTGAGGACTCGCTTTTCAAAATGCAGGGCCTGCTGACCAGGGGCTTCATCAACGAAAGGGTAGGTTGTGGAGCTACTGGGTGAGTTCTGTTGAAACAGCTCAATAAAATGTCAACAGGTGTGGCTTTTTCCTCCTGATTGATAAGATCTCTGCTTCTCTTGTAAAACAAAGTATTGACTAAAAAAGGTTGTGTTTCCCTACTGCTCTCCTTTTAGGCTGCCTCCCCTCCAGGTTGGGAAAGAAGCAGGGTTAGGGGTATTATTTAATAGTAGAACACAGTTCACATTCACCACATTCACCGAGCACTTCCTACATGCTACAGGTTTGTTAAAGCCTTCCAACCATTATTATACCCATTTAACAGATGAATGAACAGACTCAGCCAGGTTTTGGAATACACCTAAAGTCGGAGTAAATGGTAAAGCCACAGCCCAGACACCGATGCTCCTAAGTTCTGTGCTTTAATTCCTGCATATTTCTGTCTTCCCGCCTTAAATTCATTGAAGCCCAGATATTCAAATGATCTGTTAAAAAATAAATACAGTAAAGTCATAAGGTTTTTTTCTTTTTGCGGTACGCGGGCCTCTCACCGTTGCGGCCTCTCCCGTTGCGGAGCACAGGCTCCGGACGTGCAGGCTCAGTGGCCATGGCTCACGGGCCCAGCCGGTCCGCGGCACGTGGGATCTTCCCGGACCAGGGCACGAACGCGTGTCGCCTGCATCGGCAGGTGGACTCTCAACCACTGTGCCACCAGGGAAGCCCCAGAACTTGTACTTTTAAGGCTAGGCTCTAGAATTTCATTAGTTGACATAAGAAAAAGGCATATCTGTGGAGCTATTTTACTAGAAGAAATAGAGAAGGGGCTGGATAAGTTTAACTGATTAACGGTGAGATAAGGTGTATATACTACTTCTGTTCTACTGGGCAGAGCTGTGCTGACTTCAGTGAAGTGCTTAGACCCTCTTAGTTTCCACCATCCCCTCCCTACACTGACTCTCAGACATCTAGCTGCAAAGTGTCCTCTTTGCAGAATGACCGCCTTGACAGGTGGTGAGCTCCCTGTCACTGGAAACATGCAAGCTGAAGCCCACAAGATTTCCTGCACTGGGAGGAAGGCTGCTTTGAGTTCACTCTAAAACTTTTCTCCTGAGATTTTGGATTTTCAGGTCCCACCCAGTCATTTAATGGATCTAATTTCATACTCATTTCCCCTTTTCAAGGACCCCATGCTGCCACTATTTGAAGGAGATGATTTAAGGAGATTGGCCCAGGAGATCACCAAGGCCAGAAGCTTCCTCTGGCAGGCCCAGTCCTTCAGGTATGCCCTTCAAGCAGCCCCTCCCACCTGCCTCGTGGCTCCAGCCCACCCAGACCCTGGGCCCCCCTCAGGTCAGTGCCCACTCGGTCATGACACCCTTGCTCCAAGAGCTCCTGCCCTGCTTCTCCCTGCCAGGCCCAGAAATTTGGGCATCGAGGGTCCATCTTTCTTCATCTCCTGTTCACTAGGTCCCAACTCCAGAAGAAAAACAACACAGAACCGAAGGTCGCTCCGTTTTAGAAAAGTGTTCTCAGGTAAGGGGAGGGGATGAACTCATCAACTTTTGAGCGCCCGTCAAGAACCAGGCAGCATGCTGTATTTTGTGGACAGCAGTGACTATGGGCAAGGATCAGAAACAATGATTCCTCTAAATAGAAAGGCCATCCTACAAAGAACCACTCAGCAAATGTTGGCCCAGAGGGAAAGGTGCCCTAGAAAGCTGTAACCCACAGATCAGCATGATTCCAGGCACCAGGACTCCCTGGAAGCCGAGAGAGGAAAGCTCTCTATCCCTGGGTCCACCCCGATGTTCCCACATTGTCCCCAACACACCCTACACTCCAGTCACAAGACTGTCACTTGCTGGAAGTCCTGCACTGAGCCCCCTGCTTGGAACATCCTTCTGCCACCCTCTGCCTGGTGACTGCTTCTCGTCCATGAAGACACAGTGCAAGTGGCATCAACTCCACTGTGAAGATGCCCCTGGGACCCATCAAGAGCTGGGAGATTCCAGTCTTCCCCCTATAGCATCCTGACCACGCATCCCTCTTTATAGAGGTGACACTTAACTACACTTAGCACTCCACATTATGCTTCCTTGCTCCCTTGTCTCTTCTCCTTGACCATGAGCTCCCTCAGGATGAGGCTGGTGTCCCAACCATCTCTGGGTCCCAAGAATCTGCCACGTGGCAGACACATAGTAAACAGTGAGCATGAAGCTTAGTTGTGAGAGCCCAGCTCTGGAGACCAGCCAGATAAGATTGTTTCTGCCCCAGTCCTCTTGTTCTGTGCTTCCCCAACACCCTGATCCACGGGTGTGTGACGCAGATTCACCGTCAACCCCTCTTGGAGGAAGAAGAAACAAGTGAGCCTCACCGCCACCCACCGTCCCTGCTCATCTGAACTGAACTGAAGTCTGCTCTGGAGCCCAGTCCAGAGCGAATGCTCAGCTCAAGCATGTGAAAATCGGGCTGGAGCTGCTGGGCCAGCCCTACTGTGTACATATGAAATGACCGTGTCATGTGTTATGTCAGCTGGGGTCATTTCTAAGACAGGAAAGATTGCTTTTATTTAATTAATAGGATCAAAGTTACTTTTATTTATTTATTTATTTATTTATTTTTTGCGGTACGCAGGCCTTTCACTGTTGTGGCCTCTCCCATTGCGGAGCACAGGCTCTGGAAGCGCAGGCTCAGGGGCCATGGCTCACCGGCCCAGCCTCTCCACGGCATGTGGGATCTTCCCGGACCGGGGCACGAACCCGTGTCCCCTGCATCGGCAGGCAGACTCTCAACCACTGCGCCACCAGGGAAGCCCCCAAAGTTACTTTTAAATGGATGTGATCATTGGTGTGTGTGTGTGTGTCTCTATGTAAATTTTTGGTGTGATAAAACTTTATTAAAAGACTCGTATCTAGATATACGAAGAACTCCGAATCAATAAGGAAATGATAAACATCCTATTTTTAAAAATGGACAAAAGGCTCAGACAGGTATAAATGAACAAGAGGTATATGAAAATAGGCGCTCAACAGCCTTACCCATCAGTGAAATGCTAATTAAAACTACAGTGAGAACCACTACACACCCACCAGAGTGGCTAAAAATAAAGACTGGCAATATGAAGATAGGCAGCAGCTGGAACCCTCACGCATTGCTGGAGTGGAGGGTGGAGCGGTGTAACTTGGTGCATCCACGCTGGAAAACTGTCTGGCAATTTTCACCAAAGTAGAACGTGTGCCTTCTCTCTGCCAGCAATTCCACTCCAAGAGGAATGAGTGCCCACGTTCGACAAAAGACATACACAAGAATGTTTACAGCAACTTTATTCGTAAGAGTCAGAAAATGGAAACTACTTAAATGCCCATCAATGGTAGAATGGACAAATAAATTGTGATACATCTGTGCAGTGGAATACTACACATCAATTTAAAAGGATGAACTACAGCTATATTCAACAAGCTGCATCAATTTTATGAGGAATATTGGGCAGAAGAAACCAGACACAAAAGAGTACATACAGTATAATTCCAGTTATATGAGGTTCAAGAATAGGCAAAACTATTGTTGGTGACAGAAGTCAGAAGGGTGATTACCTTGTGTGTTGGGGCCACTACGGAGCTATACCTTGATCTGGCGGTGGTTACATTGATATATACACAAGTAAAAATTCATCAGATTGTTTAAAAACACAGTTTACTGAGACTTGACAAGCCATGGCTTTGGCCAGGCTCTGTACTGGCCCAGGGAGACAGCAGTGACCACAGCCCCTTCCACAGTGGGTCTCAGTCTAGTCACTGTCTTGGACAGCTGCCCTCTGCATCATCTCTATCCACACCTGTGGTCGCTGCAGTACGTCACTCAGGCTGTCATAACAAAGTACCATAGACTGAGTGGCCAAAATAACACAAGTGTATTGTCTCCAGCTCTGGAGGCTGGAAGTCCGAGATCAAGGTACAGACAGGCCCATGCTCCCTCCGAAGGCACCGGGAAAGGTCTGTTCCAGGCCTCTCTCCTGGCTTCTAGCAGTTCCTTGCTTCTGGCAGCAGCACTCCAATCTTCCCATGATGCTCTCCTTGTGCACATGTCTGTGTCCAAATTTCCCCTTTTTATAAGGATGCCAGTCATACCGGATTAGGGCCTTACTCTAGTATGACCTTATCTTTAATTACATCTGCAACGACTCTATTCCCAGCTAAGGTCGCATGCTGAGGTACTGGGGCTTAGGACTTCAACATATGAACTTGAGGGGGGCACAATTCAGCTATAACACTTGTGTTGTAAACTATGCTTCTCCTAATGAGATGACACCAGCCAGATGACTCTTGGGCCTGGGGAACAAGAGTTCACCAGCCCTGCTGGTGGGAGAGGAAGAGGCTGGTCTTTGTGAATGGAAGGACAGACCAGAGACGTGGTTTGCAAAGCAGCGAATCACAGGTACTGGGTTTGAATCCCAACCTCCTCTCATGTAACGATGATAACAGCTACCGTTGGTTGAGCACCAACTGGGCAGGCATAATACTCAGCATTCTGCATATGGTACCTTGGGAGCCACAAGGCTTGCAACATCACAACTGTAAAGTACACACCAGTTCCTGTTAATGGATGAGGAAACCAAGCCTTGTAGCTGCCCAAGACACACAACATGAAAGTGGCAGGGCTGAGATTTAAACCCAGGGCTGACCCCACGGCCTTTTCCCACTACACTCTGAGCCCCTTTTTATCTCTCTGAACCTGCTTCACTGTCTCTAAAATTGGGCTAAAACAGAGTTGTGAGGATTAAGCAAGATACCTTACCACCTGGCACATCGCATGTGCTGGCTGAGGTTTTTCTCTTCCCCGCACCCACCTATGTCCACAGAGGAGGTTCATTTAGGTGAAGCCTTTCCAGTAGCCCTCTTCAAACCGAAGTAACCAGCCCTTGGTGCTCTGCAGCTGTGCCCACTGTTGGGCATATGCCTGCCCTCTGCCACTGGCACTTGCAAATGAATTTTCCAGGGATGGTGCGATCCACCTGGGTCCCCAGTGCAAGGGAAAGGACAGCGCTGAAGAATCACCTATTAAGTGTGGAATGATGGCCTTGGAGAATGGCTAACCCAGAGGTGGGTGGAAGGATGTAAGAAAGGAAGGGTAGATAGATGGGTGGAAGGCAGGACAGAAAGATATGAAATAAACTGGATGGATGGAAGGCTTGATGGATAGATAGGTGGAAAGACAGAATAACGGGTGAATAGATGAATGGATGAATGGACAAAAACAGTTTAAAATTGGTGGAAGGATGGACGAATAGACAAAGAGATGGATGGAAGAATAGGTGGGATAATGAATAGATGAAAGAGAGGAAGGAGGGAGGGGAGGAGGGCAGGAGGAAAGAAGGCAAGAGGCAGGCTGAACAGACGGGACCACGTGGGAGGGGACATGGATGGGTAGGTGGGTGGAGAAAGAAACACCGTTTCTTGGGGTTCTAGGCCGTCTATGCGGGCAGGACCCGGACCAGCACGCAGGACCTTCGCGCCCTTTTCCCACTAGCATCGTGGCCCATTTCACCTTCGACCGGCCTCAGTTTCCCCTCTGGGAGAGCGTGCGTGTCCCCGCCTTAGAGACGACGGTTGCGGCGGAGGGGGTAGTGGGTGCAGCCGGGACGCAGGGAACCGGCGCGGGGCGGGCGCGGGGCGGTGCCAGGAGCCCCGGTCGGCCCCGCCCCGAGGAGGGGGGCAGCCCCGTAGCGCCGGGCTCTGCGCGGAGACTGACTGACGCGGGGTTGCAGCCGGGATCGCGTAGCGCCGCGGGAGCCGGGCCGGGTGAGCGCAGCCAGGGCGTGAGGCTAGGGACGCGGGGCGGGGGGCGCACGCGGCAGCAGGGAGGACCCGCCCCCGAGCTGCCAGGCGGCCACTCTCAGCTTGGGGGTCCGCTCCTGCCGCCCCATCGAGGGGGGCGCGCCCGCGCCCGGAGGGATCCCCGACCATCTTCCACAGATTCCTCTCACCCAACCCCGCTTTGGGTCCCCAGCGACCTGGATCCAGGGCCAGCCATTCACTGACACTCCATCAGAGTTCGCAAATGTTCTCTGAGCCTCAGTTTCCCTCCCCGGATGATGGGAGCAGTAGCCCCCGCTGCACAGGACCGCCAGGAGGATGAAATGTGGCAGTGCCGGGGGGTCAGCCGGGTGCTTGGCCCTAGGCTCCCTCATGCAGAACAGTCCTGAGTGGTTTCATTCACTCAGCGGCTGTTTACTGATGGCCTGCTTTGTGCCAGGGTGCCATGTACACTATAGTGATCCAAGCCTTCTTGGAGCGTGCATGCCAGTGGTCTGTGAGGACTCTGCCATCTGTGAGAGTTATGGGGGTTCAGTTGACAGACGTGGATACTGAGGTGCAGTGAGGTTATAAGGACTTTGCCCAAGGGCACACCCAGCAAATGGGACCTGAGGCAGGGTCCCAGCCTTTGTCACTGGAAGCAGCCCCATAGGATAGAAAGACAGTTCTGGTGCCACAAACCCTTCCCCAGGACAGAGTCCCCTGGGCCTGGGTAGAGGAGGGCTCCACTTTGTGGTTGTATTCCCCCCTCCCAGTGGAGGAATTAGACCCATCCCCTGTGACGACTAACATCTGGGGTGTCTCCCCTCCCTGTCACACCCATGAGTGTCAGTGCTTGTATGGGGCATGACTATATCCCTCACTCAGAACTTCGGAGAGCAGGGCAGTGACAGAGGAGACTAGAAGATGCTGTATAGCTGTCCCGGCCCCTGCCCCGTGACCACCACCAGCAACACCTGTGGGGCTCAGTACTCAGTCATTCGGTCACCCAGTTGCACCTGTTCTTTTTTTACAGCCACTGTGTGCCACGCAGGGCAGAGTTTACCTCTCTCTGTATCCACGGGGCCTGGCGCACGGCAGGCTGACAGTACACAGTTGCTGCTGTCATTAATGATGATAATGGTGATCCGGCCTCTCGGCCAGCCTTATCCTCAGGTGGAGCAGGAAGTGGGGGGCTGGGGGTGAGACGATGGTAACAGTGACTGACAGCCTGGCTCGCTTTAAGTCTAGAGTGAGGAGGACGACATCCTCAGTGCTGGCCCCCGAGACCCACAGAGCTGATCCTGAAGCCCACAGGGGGCTTGCTAGGCCTTGTGGTGCCAGCCATCCGCCCTGCTGGGGGACCTGGGAGAACCAGAGACAGCAGTTGCCAGGGCAGAGGCGGTGCAGCACTTGTGCAAGTTTCCAAGGCCCTTTGGATCCCATGTGGATTCCTCCCTTCTCTCCTTCTCCAGGAAGCCCTTCCCATTTCCCCGTCAGAAAGCAGTCACCCCCCCAGTCAGATGGGGTTCCCCTTGGCACGATTTGATCTGTCTCCCTCTGGTACTGCATGGGAACCGGGATTTTAAGGAACTGGTAGAGAAGTCGGGAATTCTTGGTGTAAATCTCAGCCATGCAGTGTGACTTTGGGCCTGGGTCTCCTGAGCTGTGAGACCCAAGGCCTGGCTGCTTTGTCTCTGACTCTGAGGAAGGCAGCGGCCACCTTGGAAGCTCTCAAGATTCTGAAAGGGACAGGTTTGGGAACTCAGAGGGTCTCTAATTCCCACCAGGAGGTCTCCTAAGCCCCCAGGGGTCTGATAATCCACATGAGTTGAGACAACTCTAGAACGTACGTTCTTCTGTTTTTTCCTACAGGTGGACAGATCCCGGGTCCACATGGCTCAGTAGAAGATGAAGCCCAACCTGGCAGGCTCCTCCCCAGAGGCCTGCAAAGCTGCAGGGCAGGGCGAGCAGAGCTGCCCTGTCTGCCAGGCCTGGGGTGGGGTCTCAAGCCTGGGGTCTGAGTCAGGGCCTGGGCCGGGACCTGGTGCTGTGTCCAGACCTGGGCTGGGGCCTGGTGCTGTGTCAGGACCTGGACCTGGGCCTGGTACTGTTCCAGGGCCTGGGCCGAGTCCTGGTGCTGTTCCGGGGCCTGGGTTGGGGCCTGGTGTGGTTCTAGAACCTGGATCAAGGCCTGGTGCTGCTTCAGGAGCTGGGCCAGGGACTGGAGCAGTGTCAGGGCCTGGGAAGGAGCCTAGTGCTGTTCTGGGACCCAGACAAGGGTCTGGCGCAGTGTTGGGGCCTGGACCAGGGCCTGGTGTTGCTTCGGGGCCTGG